ACCAGTAGTAGAAGGAGTAGCAGTAGTAGTCGTAATAGTAGCAGCGGTGGCAGTACTAGTAATAGTAGCAGTATTAGGAGTTTCAGCAGTAGTAGTAGTAACATTAGTGGTAGGACTAGTAGTAGTAGTGTGAGTGGTAGTAGTAGTAGTTGTTGTTGTTGTTGCGGTAGAAGTAGTAGGACTAGTAGAAGTAGTAATAGATGTTGTAGCAGTAGTAGTAGTAGTAGTAGTAGTAGTAGTAGTAGTAGTAGTAGTAGTAGTAGTAGTAGTAGTAGAAGTAGTAGTAGTGGCAGCAGTAGTAGTAGTATTGTTAGTAGTAGCAGCAGTAGTAGCGGTGGTAGCAGTATTAGTAGTATTAATAGTAGTACAAGTAGTAGTAATAGTGGTAGCAGTTGTACTAGTAGTGTGAGTAGCAGTAACATTAGTAGTATTAGTGGTAGCAGTAGTAGTAGTGGTTGTGTCAGTAGTAGTAGCAGTGGGTTTGTTGTTGTTTTGTGGTAGCAGCAGTAGTAGTATTAGTAGTAGTACTTGTATTAGTAGTAGTAGTAGTAGTATTAGTAGTGGTAGCATAGTAATAGCAGTAGTGGCAGCAGTAGTAGTACTAGTAGTAGTAGTAGCAGTAGTAGTCGTAATATTAGTAGTGGTAGCAGTAGTAGTAGTATTAATAATAGTATTACTAGTAGTATTATTATTGTTAGTAGTGGTGGCATTAGTAGAAGTAGTGGTAGCAGTAGTAATCCTAATACTAGTAGTGGTAGCAGTAGTAGCAGTATTATCAGGTGGTAGCAGTAGCAGTAATTGTAGAAGTAGTAGTAGTGTTAGTAGTAGTAGGAGTAGGAGTATTAGTAGTAGTAGTAACCTTCGCAGTAGTAATCGTAGTAGTAATAGCAGTAGTAGTATTAGTAGTGGTAGCACTAGTTGTAGTAGTAGTAATGGTAGTAGTAATGGTAGCAGCAGTGGTAGTAGTAGTAGTAGCAGTAGTAGTAGTAGTAGGAGTGATAGCAGTAGTAGTATTAGTGGTAGCAGTAGTATTATGATTATCCTTATTACTGATAGTAGTAGTAGTAGTAATAGTAGGAGTATTAGTAGTAGTAGTATCAGTATTATTAGTAATATTATTATTGCAGCAGTCGTAGTGGTAGCAATATTAGTGGTAGCAGTAGTAGTAGTACTAGTAGTATTACTAGTAGTAGTGTTTGTAGCCGTAGTAGTAGTATTAGTATTAGCAGTAATAGTAGGACAGTTAGCAGTAATATTAGTAGTATTAGTAGTAGTGGTAGCTGTAGTAGTAGTAGTAGTAGTAGTAGTAGTAGTAGTAGTAGTAGTAGTAGTAGTAGTAGTAGTAGTAGTAGTATTAGTAGTAATAGTGGTAGTAGTAATAGCTAATTTTTGGAAACTTGGGTAGTTGGTTTCCAAGGGAATGCATTTGGCATCAAAATTGGGTATCTGATAAACTGCTCATTTCGCTGTTGTATATTTGAACGTATACAGTGGAAATTGTTAATCATTAGGGAATTGATTACTTTTTTTCATGTCCATCCACATTGTTTTTGCTTTCATATGTGCTGCTACATAAGCTCAATCCATAATCCGTACTTTTAGAGGAACACAACAACACTGACCTCATGAGAAATACACATCGCACGCTGTTGTTACATAAGTTGTATAGTCAGTTCCCATTACGTCATGAAATAACACATCGCAACTGATATCATGAAGTTATTCTTTGTTTCCCCAGACCCCACGACATGTAACTGCTGATTCCAGGTGGAGGAGAGTTTTCCATGTCGACATGTCATTCAGTACTGCATGGACGAAAGCACTCATCTGGATACAGTTCACGGTTTCAGCTGTTGGCTTATGCAGTAGCATGAACAGTACAATGCAACAGTGCAGAAAAACATTCTACAAACAACCCCACCACTTTTACCATCAAGAAGCCGTCTTTAGATGACAGTTTCACTATTCTTCTTCACATATGATCAGCAATTCCACCTAATCCTTTAGCATATATGGAAAATTTTTGACAAGTGGCCATCCATGTCTTTCTCAATTGCTGTGAGATCAAGCAAAAAAAGGATCCATATACATAACTGATCATTAGGGTGAAGTGATCCGAATCTACAGTCCCGCCCCAATCTGCCCAGCTCATTTTTTACATTTTAGATGGAGGAAGATAACAGCACCACAGAAGTTTCTATTCACAAAAAGGATGAGGATGAACAGACAGTTTTTCTGATAGCTGTCACAAATGTGATTTGAATGACTTAATCAGTTTTTAAAATGAAACTCAATCTTCTTTGCAAAATTTTCAACAGATTATGAAGAGATTTCATAAGAGTTGTCAGGTTCATTTGAAGTCAGCGATTCACGGAAGATAAACTTATAACCTTTTACAATAATAGTAGTTAACCAAGAAATATATTATTGCACCACACTGATCAGTTTGTGAGTAAATCTTGACATAAATATATTGAAGTGATAAGAGGAAGTGTTTTACGTACACTATTCTGTGTATTGTACATCTGAAGTTCTAATGTTGGCTACTGAATGGATAAAATCAGTCCGAGTGCATTTAATGCACCCATTAGAGTACTAGTTTAAGTTATTGGAGTTGTGTAGGTACCTTGTTCCCTCTTCTTGAATGTATATCTGAAAAGGCGTGTACATTCATAAACAATAAGTTTATAATTTAACTACATAAAATGTTTACTCATACTTATAGTTTCTTGTTGTTATACTGGGTTGAATTCTTTGCTCTCTGTTAGCAGATGGGCTCCTATACGGATGCCTTGATACTGCCAGATATTAATGATGTTATATTCATGTTGGTGACTAGTAGTATAGTTCAAGATGGATCTTGTCAGCTGGATGTATATGCGCCCCAGTGAGTGGGGTTGTTCCCCAGTAGCATGGATTCAGACGCTAAAGCATCATCGACTAGGCTATGTAGAATGTTTGTTTAAGAAACATCAGCGTTATTGCTTACTATTATATTACTTAAGTGGGTACTCACACTGGTTGGTAATTGTGAAATGAAGGTTCCTAACTAAGCTAAGTTTAAGTATTGGATTTCTAATAGGTTAACAATATTAAAATTAGTGGATTAAACAATGATATAATCAATCCCAACCAGTATACAAAAGTTGATGCTACTGTAGTAGGCGTTGCTGATAACAATAGAGATAGGTAGTATATGTTTAGAGGGTGGCTGGAATCATAGGGAATTACCGGCAATGGGTAAGATTTCTCCCAAGAGCAACGCAAGGCATAACGTCGGCGTATTATAGTGGATGCTGCTGATAAAAATGTATGAAAAGCAGATCAAGAGCAAACCAAGAGAGGAACAAAAGAGGAAACGAATCACATTTGCAAATGATCGGATTAGTGCAAGGTGTACCGTATGGAACGACTACTGTTCCAAATGTTGACAATGTAAATTCAGTCGTGTCTATCTTCTGCCTCATCACTACTAGACTATGTGATGTATACAAGCAAAACAGCATGCCGGCGTAGCAACTGGGTTCCTCATTACAGTGCAGTTGAAAGGATGTTATCTGTCTGCTATGGACATAGCAACTAGATTTCTGAATACAGATTGAGACTTAAAATAGCGACCGACTTTAAAGGCGACACTAAAGACGATTTAAAAAGCCAATTAAGTTTGTTTATTTCATCGAGAAAAGCAGATTTTCAACGGGTGGGTTAGGGTGGCCTTCAAAGCCAATCTCAGATTCACGCAGTATAACAAAGTGACGAAATAGATATTTGAATAGAAGATCAGTGAAACTCACTGTTGTTATCTGTAGACAATGTGAATACTAAATAGTAATGATGGGTACAGGCTAGCAGTTGAATCCAGGATGAACATTTCGTCCTATTTGGTACTACAAACAATAACACTAAAACTGTACCCGTCGCACAAGAAGTGGCAATCGTGGCTCAGTGGTGCAGTGGATAACGCTCTCACGTTTGAAGCGATCTCTCCCAAATCCGAATCCCAGTGGGAACAACATCGCTCACTGGGAGGTAGGTACATCCAGCTGACCAGTGAGTCTCAAATAGGACGAAATACGCATCCTGGATTCCACTGCTAACCACTACCCATCATTACGATACATAGTTAAAAGATAGGCAATATCGAGGCATCCGTACAGGAGCCCATATGTCAAGAGAGACTGATCATTTCGGTCGAATCAACGACGTTGTAATACAAGCAACAACACTAATCATTCAATGTGAAATTGAATGTTTCTTTTTGTATGGCTAGCCGGGTGTGTGTGTGTGTGTGTGTGTTACCATTCCTACTCTCTGTGATTGTAATCGTCTGACAAATAGGGTCACAGGTGACATAGTCATTCGGTAATTATATAAGTAGAGTGGGGCATATGATTCGGATATGCGAGTCATTTCGGTTAGCATGTGAAGCTGAATAGTATTCACAAATATTTGTTCATTGATTTGACGGAATGGCGTGGAAGTGAACAGTAGTAATGATGGAAGTGACGATGATAATAATAATGAGTCAAATCAATCCAGATTATGTGTTGTTGCTGATGCAGAGATAATAAAGTTGAAACTGGTGTTGAAGGTAAATGTTAGAGTCTCCCTCTCTGCTTACTAATTTAACTATGATAGCCGTAGTTTAGCAGACTAATATTTAAACTGGGTGATGATTGAAGGTGAGATGAAATTCTGGACCGTGGTCGGATTCAAACTAGCGACCACTTGAAAATTGCCAACAGGCAAGTAGGTATACACCATCTTGTCTGTTCAAACTGTCTAGATTTGCTCATATATTTAGGGTTTCATCTATCAGTCTTGGTATGATCCAAAACCATTTTGCAGAATCTTCGTTCCGTCAAAGTCCACCTTTTGATTTATTTCTATGGAGTATACGACAGTTGCCGATTTGTTTTCTAGCTTCTTATTCGTTAAGGTCACTTTTCGCATATTTTTGCCCCAGGTTACCTCACGATACCTGTAAGTAATTGATTCATTTAAACATTAGGATCATCATCTTTAAATTGATATGTATCAACAATGAATACTGCTCATGTAGGCTATTGTCATTATCCTACTGTGATTAGTAATCACATTAGTGTTATTACTTGTATTACAACGTCGTTGATTCGACCGAAATGATCAGTCTCTCTTGACATATGGGCTCCTGTACGGATGCCTCGATATTGCCTATCTTTTAACTATCTATCGTAATGATGGGTAGTGGTTAGCAGTGGAATCCAGGATGCGTATTTCTTCCTATTTGAGACTCACTGGTCAGCTGGATGTACCTACCTCCCAGTGAGTGATGTTGTTCCCACGAGGATTAGGATTTGGGAGAGATCGCTTCAAACGTGAGAGCGTTATCCACTACACCAACGAGCCACGAATGATTAGTTATCATACTTTAGAAAGAGATAATGACTATACAAAGAGGACTGGACAAGGAGATTGAATCCTCGTCTTTGAACTCATTTGTATGGGCGATTTAAAGGCCACTTTAGCAACGATCGAAACAATCAATTAAGTTTCTCCATTTCATCTAGAAGGGCAGATTTTCATAAAACAGAGGAATCTGACTGGTCATTTCACTTGTTGTTACAGTGGCCTTTAAAATCACTCCATTTATATATCCTCGATTGTTTCCCAGAAGAAGCTGACATCAGACTTCTGTATGAAACGTTGGAGTTATTTTCGTTTCAAACACGCTGCAGCTTAAATAATTACAAACTATATCTAATATATAAAAATAAATGGTAATATGTGGAAGGGCATGAGGCTAAAAGTAAATCCTTTTGGATTTAATTTGAAGCTTGAACTTACTCACTGTGATATGCGAGTATCATTCATCCTGGATCAAATGTATTTACTTTCCGCCTGGGTTCATCCAAAACTTTACACATGAATAAACAGTTAGAAACATGATTCAATGACAGACGGTATTATGAAAACTATACAGTTGGGTGGGTTATTCATACAGAACATAGAAAATGTTTTACTTTTATTGATAACCCTGAAACCTATGACGAGCGCGATAACACCTGGAGATAACTTTTAGCCTCATCCCATGCAAGGTATTTATGAAATCAGTGATATTCACTAATTTAAGAGGCATGAAGGAAGTAAATAATGATATTTTAATGAGTAGGGCAGGTTTAAAATGAGTTTCTGAGGTATGACTGATAATCAAAAATCATAATTAGAATAATAATAATAATAGTAATAATGTGGAAATGAGATAGAAAATAAAACCAGAGGCATCTGTGGCACTTCAGCATGAGAGTAATCAATATTCAAGATATTCAGATATCTTATTAGTTAATCACGTTAAGACCATGGTAACAAAGGAGATTTATGTATAGGTTAGGCTTCCAATTATGAATTATCAAGGCTTCTGCAATATATGAGAAACGGAGACATAAATGTTAAAGAAGGTTTGATTAGATTTCACAAATTATTCGAGGCTGGAATATTCAGTATTGAAATGTTCGAAAATATCTGGGCTGATTGATCATCTTTACCTATTGTTAAACCATACTGAGGAATGTTCACGAATACGTGGAATGATAGGCTTAGACGAACGGTCTATATACCTAGGTCTTCAGAAGCCCATAAAACTTATCAGTCTTGGTAAGTTGTCCTTCACATATTCCGAGGTCTGCTACGTGGATTTCACAAGACTAATTTCCTCTTCTATGCGGTCTACAGCACAAATTTTATAGTATGATGAAAACAGATCGAGAATTAGACTACCTTTTGTAGTTAATGTAACCCAGCTATAAAAGTTCATCAATTGTCCACTCAACTTTGTTTCTATGTATATCAACCTTTTCAGTATACATTAGTCTCTTCTCATCAGTAGAACACGTAGGAATAAGATTCTAGAATCTATTTCTTTTTCTGTTGTAAAGTGTAGTGGTGAATGACATTGATTGAATCTAACCGATTGGTTTCTATTGGTATATGGGCTCATGGGTAGATGGTTAGATATTACCTATCGTTTCAGTTTTGATACGAATGATAGATAATGGCTGTCAGTGGAATCAGTGATGCATGTTTCGTCCTATAACGAACTCATCAATTGAATCTACCTGTCTACAAGTTGGTAGTTTTTACCATTGAGACTTCAACTAGCAGTCCATCACTCCTATTATCAAGGCGTTATCCACTGTGACGTTATAGTTTATAGTCTCCCATCATACAAAAGACTGAATCACCTGATGAGGAGTGTTAGATTCGAGTGTAGATAGAGACAACATCAATCACAAGGAGATATGTACACCTAACTGAAATTATCAGCAATATCAAGGTGTCCACTCAGGAGACCAGATTCTATTTATAATCTACGACAAGAATCTACAAATTATCACATCAAAATAAAATCATGTTTGTGATAATAGATTGTCATGAGATTCAATCAAGTTTAAGTTACCGTTGAATCATAATCAGAAAGAAGTAGAAGAAGGATTTATAAATTTGTTTATATAAAACAGCAAGCGGTTAGTTTATCAACCTTGATTGAACTACAAGGTCACTTACTTTTAATATATATGTATATATTGAGAAGAAGATTAATTTACATGTATATATGCATAAAATGAACTTACGAGAAGTTAAAATAAACTTTGCAAATGCTTTTGATTCATCAACTTTTATATTCTCAAATGGTGTTGATTCATACTGGCATTGAGGTGAATGATACATAAATATAATGTAATTGTTTATATTTCCATCTCGATAAGATTTAATAATCTGTATAAAACAAGAATCAAAAATTTTAACAGAGAATTATTCCTAGTTGTTATTCATCGAAGACTGACATCAGTTGGAGGAACAAAGGAAACCTGGGAGCACTGGACAGCTGTTTCGTCCGACTAGTATGGGACTCCTCAGCAGTGCGCACCCACCACCCCACCAGCAGGGATCGAACCCGCGACCTTCAGGTTCCGCGACCAGCGCGTTACCATTGAGCCACTGGGTCAGAATCCAATGCTCCATATTTCCAACTTCTGTTAGCTCACGATATAGCGCAAACCGCCACCCAATGTCATCGTTGAGTATTTGTCCTCACGGCCATCAGGCTTTGACTCCACCGGTCACGACTTGTGCTCCCAAATTTCCTTTGTTCCTCCAACTGATGTCAGTCTTCGATGAACAACAACTTGAAATATTTCCAAATCTCCACAACCCCCTCAAAATTTAAGAGAATTATTCATTTAACTGTAATGAATACATATATATATATATATATATATATATATATATATATATATATATATATATAAAAATTACGTAAGCTTGAATTTCAGTTCAGTCAGTCATAGTGTACATTGAATGTTTAACTTTTTTAATATATATATATATATATATATATATTAAAAAAGTTAAACATTCAATGTACACTATGACTGACTGAACTGAAATTCAAGCTTACGTAATTTTTTTTAAACAAATGAAAAAGGTGAAGAATAGAATGAATGGAATGAACCATTAGAAAAGGCCTTCAAAAGTGTCGACTAAGAAGTAATTTAGCAGCTGATTCAACACTACGGTATGCCAGTAGTCTTTATCAACCTCATTTAACAGCAGCTATATAATGACGCTACATGCCAAGTGATTCACAGGGGAAATTTCACTGACGCTATTGAAGTGAAGACAGGAATAAGACAAGATTGCCGCCTACTATGATTGATCGTCTTCCTGATTGTGGTCTACTGCATCATGCAAGAAAGTGAGAGGAGCGAGAAGATGAGCATATGCCGTTTGACTGATGAAAATACCCTAGAAGATTAGGATTTTGCCGATGATGATTTATGTCTAATGTTGCACAAACCGGAAGATCTACAGGCGAAAACTAACAAGTTGGTAGGAGAGATAGGGCAGGGTAGCTAAGACAAGACTTCCTTCAGATGAACGTAGAGAAGACAGAGGTGATGAACATACCCAACCAACAACAGCAAGCACCAATCATCATGAATGGGAGGAACCTAAAGTAAGTTGCCTTTCATCTACCTACCTACCTACCTACCTACCTACCTACCTACCTACCTACCTACCTACCTACCTACCTACCTACCTACCTACCTACCTACCTACCTACCTACCTACCTACCTACCTACCTACCTACCTACCTACCTACCTACCTACCTACCTACCTACCTACCTACCTACCTACCTACCTACCTACCTACCTACCTACCTACCTACCTACCTACCTACCTACCTACCTACCTACCTACCTACCTACCTACCTACCTACCTACCTACCTACCTACCTACCTACCTACCTACCTACCTACCTACCTACCTACCTACCTACCTACCTGCCTACCTACCGACCGACCGACCGACCAACCTACCTACCTAAGCAGCCTCGTTTCAAATACAGGCGACAAAGATGAGGATGTGAAAACCAGGATTGGAAAAGCAAAACAGTCCTTCAATAAAATGAAATCAGTATGGAGATCTACTGCATTGCACTCAGCATGTGGAATAAGATCAGGATTTTTAACACTAATGTCGGCCAAGTCAGTGCTTCTATGTCATGGTTGAAAGACTTGGCGCATTACGAAAAGCATTTCCAACAAACTACAGACATACTTCATCAACAGCTGTCGCCTACGCTCACTTGATACTGAATATGAGATCAGATGACCAGAATAATAAGAATAAGGAACAAGGAAGTGTGGTTGGCAACGAACCAACTAACAAATATGCAGAAGAAGGAAGTGGAGATGGATTGGGCATACACCACGTGCCACGCCAGGATGTGGAGTGCAACGTAAATGGGAAACAACGAGTTAGGCGTCCCACCTGAGGGTGACATGGAGGAGATCGTGTGAGGAAGAAATAAAAGCATGTGGGCAGGCAGTCGTGGAGCCATGTTGGAGAGACTGTAGAGAACAGAGCGGAATGGAGACTTGCTACTGAAGCCGTATGTTCCACTAGCAACCTACTTGGAAAAAAAATAATAATTAGAGTACATTACCGTAAGTAGTTTTTTTCATCAGCTACAAATCAAACTCTCAAGTGAATTCACGTTGGTCGACTTTCTACTGTCAATGTGGATTTCAGTGAGATATGCTGAATGCGAAGCTATGTGAATTTTCTCCATTCGGTATTCGTGATCGATTGATATCAGTTAAAGGAGCATAGGGAACCCAGGATCTAACCCAGGACTTTTATTTTCCGTGGTCAACACCTTATCATTGAGCCACTGCATCAGTATCCAATGGTCCGTATTTGCAACTTTTGTCAGTTTGCTACATAGCGCGGCCATTACCTAATGTCATCGTTGAGTATTTGTCCTCCAAGCTACCAGGTTCGATGACTAACTTCGACAAGGGATTCCTGAAGTTCCTATGTGACGTCGTGACCGGCGGGGCAGACCTAGTGGACCTGAAGACAGATACTCAACGACGGCATTCGGTTACGGTCGCGTTATGTCGTGAACTGGTAGAAGTTGGAAATATGGACCACGGGATTCTGACTCATTGGTTCAAGGGTACCGTGCTGGCCAAGAAACATGAAGGCCATGGGTGCGCACTGCTGAGGAGTCTCATACTAGGACGAAAAAGCTGCCCAGTGCTCCCAGGATTTCAACATTTCCCCAGTCCATGATGAATACCAACTTCAAACCACTAAACCACCATAAACTCACAAATTCAATCCGTTTTTGTGCCATGAAGTTACATAGATGCGTACACATACTAATCATAGCAATAAGTTTTTATTAGTTACAGATTATCTGGTAGCAGTTTCAATTTCAAAAAGGCTTTGAAGTAAACTAAGCTGAACAGTGACTTCTTCAGTACTTTATTCCCCTTGATTGATGTACTCGTAAGCATGTTTTTATGAGATGCATGAACAATAGTCAAATCTGAAGTTAAGTCTAGTGTTTTTCAGCTTATAGGCGAAAATGCATTGCATAGAGATAATATTATTCATTATAAGGTTGTTTTATATGATACCGTCGTAGATTGGACCGAATTGATCGGTCTGTATTAGCATATGGGCTCCTGTGCAGATGCCTCGATATTGCCAGCAATCTGATTATATTAACGTTGGACCGTGGCTAGCAGTGGAATCCAGGATGCACATTTCGTCCTATTTGGGACTCGTCAGCTGGATGTACCTGCTTCCCAGTGAGTGATGTTGTTCCCACCGGGATTCGGACCTGGATTCCACTGCAGGCCATGATCCAACCTTAACATAATATTATTCACTTCTTTCCAAACAATTATCGGTATACTTTGGAATTCTCAGCATGATATATTGAAACAACAACCACAAAATACATGTGTATGTATATACTCCTTTACAACATTATTTAAATTCTTATCATAACACAACTAGTAACGTAAAGAATATTGATAACTAGACCATTTTACATTGTTAATTAAATTATTGAAATATGATAAATGAGTTCTATTCTAACAATTTTTTCCTCACATAATATGCCTGCTAGTTAAGGTACAGTCGAATTCTTGTACTTAGCTGTACGAGCCTACAGTCTTATGTAGTTCCTTCTTGTCATCTCTGAGGGGAAGATACAAAAAGAGAGCTGTGAATGAAGTGGATGCTCAGTGTCAGTTAAAATTATTGTATCTAGTTGCTTGCTGGAATTTAAATGTTTACCAACTACAATATTAATCAGATGGGTCAGAGGCGATAGTCACCCTACTCTCTGACGGCTTTCAAAGCCCTACGCAATATAACACATGGTCCTCTTTTAGGAGACGAGGAAAGATCAACAAGGAACAATAGAGAAGAATAGGTAATGTGAAGGAATTATTTAGTTGTAAGAGTAGAAGTTAACCTCGCCTGGTTAACTAGTTCACTAGTTACTAGCCGGTCCTAAGCCCGGGTAAACAGGGAAGGTTGGGCATACGGCTAGTAACCCTACCCCGTAAAACAAATCTAACCGCTAAAGAAACTTCAAAGCACAAACAAAATATAAAAAATAGTAACAAAATTATTCCTTGCTTGAATCGGAGAGGCGAAATGACGCCAGTTGGTGGAAGCCTCCAGGAAGCCAATTAGCCGATGTTTCTTTTCTCTCTCGATGAAAGCGGAAGTAAGCGTGGGGACATGGAATGTCCACAAGATGTTTGAACCCAGCAAGGCAGCCCAGATCGCATAGGAGATGAAGAGGTATCACATCGAAGTGCTTGGGATTTGCGAAAGCAGATGGAATGGGAGTGGACTCTCCAAACTGTCAACTGGAGAATCAATAATCTACTCCGGTCACCCAGACGCCAACCACGAGCACACTGAGGGAGTGGCTATCATGATGTCCTCAAGAGCATCGAAGGCTCTCATGCAGTGGGAACCAATCTCCTCCAGGATCATGACAGCAAGATTCAACTCAAAAGGAAGGAAGGTCACAATCATACAATGCCACACTATGCACCTACAAATAATGCAGATGAGGAGAAAAAGGAGGAATTCTACAGACAACTACAATCAACACTGGACAAGACACCACCTCAGTTGGCGATATCAAAATTCTAATGGGCGACATGAATGCCAAACTGAGAGGGGACAACACAGGAAGAGAACTAACCATGGGTCGAGAGGCGCTCGGTGAGGTGATGAACAAGAATGGAGAATTGCTTGCAGAATTCTGTTCATTCAACGATTTGGTGATTGGAGTCAGGCAGTGTGTTCAAACACAAGGATATCCACAAAGCCACATGGATTTCACCAGATGGACACACTAAAAACCAAATCGACTTTATATCTATCTCAAGAAAATGGAGACGCAGTCTACTTGACACAAGGTCAAGAAGGGGAGCAGATATAGGTTCAGACCACTATCTAGTGCAAGGATCCTTCCAAATCAAGTTAAAAGCCTTCAAGGAAGCTGGTGATAGACCGCAGTTCAAGTACAACACTTGGAAACTGAAGGATGAAACTACAAAGGAGATCTTCACGTCAGCCATCAAGACAAAATGGGAGATATCGCGGAACATCCCTGAAGAAACCTGTGTGGAAGAACACTGGAAGTCTTTGAAAGAGATGTGGAAAGAAACCTGCACAACCGTATTAGGAAGGAAGAAGAAAGAAGCTAAGGAATGGATCTCAATGGATACATGAAAGCTGATAGAGGAGAGGAGGGAGAGGAGGATGGTGAAGCAGAAGAGAAACCAGTGCAAAGATGCACAACAAGAGGAGGAACTGAGTACAATGTATAAAACACTACACTGGACAAAGAAGTGAAGAAGGGTGCATGTAAAGACAAAAGACACTTCTACGAAACACCGGCAAGTGAAGCAGAACAGACAGGCTGCAGGTAAGAGAGACCTGACAACATTGTATCAAATAACCAGGTTACTATCTGAGAAGAGATCAACACAGTGCAGATGAAACTAATAAAAGATGATGATGGAAATTTAATTACGAAAGAAGAGAAACAAAGTAAACCATGGGCCGACCACTTCAAGAAGCTGTTGAATCGACCACCACCACCACCACCACCTGCACTTCTTCCAGAAATACCACCTACAGCCCAGCCACAGAACTACAAGTGAACATAAATCCTCCAACAAAAATGGAAGTCCTGAACGCCATAAAGCTACTGAAATGCGGGAAAGCAGCAGGACCAGATGGAATACCGCCAGAAGCACTGAGAACAGATGCAGAGACAACAGCGGACATGCTCACACCACACCACTATTGCAGAAGGTGTGGAAGGAAGAGAAGGTACCTGGCCATTGATTGGAAGAAGGGTTACCTTGTCAAACTGCCGAAGAAGGGAGACCACAGTGTTCGCAAGAACTGGCGCGGAATCACTCTCCTGTCCACCCAATACAAGCTAAATATTGAGCCGCATCATCCTGGAGAGGCTAAGGGATGCGCTGGATTCAAAACTATGACCGGAACAGGCAGGCTGGATCCAGGAAGTACAAATCATGTGCGGACCAAATTGCAACGCAACACTACGCATCATCATAGAACAGAGTATACAATGGCAGTCAACTCTACACCTCAACTTTATCGACTTTGAGAAGGCCTTTGACAGCGTCGACCAAGAGGTAATTTGGAAACTGCTTCAATACTACGGAATACCGCAAACCTTTATCAGCCTCATTCAACAACTATATGAAGATGCCACATGCCAAGTAATTCAAAATCGGAAGCTCAGTGATGCTTTTGAAGTGGAGTGAATAGAGGAGTGAAACAAGTTTGCCTACTGTCACCCATGATATTCCTGATTGTGTTGTGGTGGACTGGATCATGCAGCAAACAGTGTAGAGCAAGAAGAGGGGGATACGCTGGACGACGGAAAAGAACCTAGTAGACTTGGATTTCGCCGACGACTTGTGCCTAATGTCACACAAACTTGAAGATCTACAGGCGATAACTAACAAGTTGTCAGAAAAGGCAGGGCAGCGAAGACGGGACTTCAAGTGAATATAGAGAAGACAGAAGTGATGAAGATACCGCACCAACAACTCCAATAACAACAAGCTCCAATCACCATCAACGGGAGAAACTTAAAGGAAGTAACCTCCTTCACCTATCTAGGAAGCACTATTTCAACTACGGGTGGCACAGGCACAGACGAGGATGTCAAAGTCAGAATCGGAAAAAACAAGACAGGCGTTCATTAGCCTGAAACCAGTGTGGAGATCTTCTGCACTCAACATGAAGCATGAACAAGATCCGGATTTTTAACACCAATTCAGTCAAGTCAGTGCTTCTGTATGGTTCAGAGACTTGGCTCCTTACGAAAGGGATTTCCAACAAACTACAGACATTCACCAACAACTGCCTACGCTGGCTCGCTACTGAAGATCAGATGGATTGCCAGAAAGAATAATCAACAAGGAGCTCTGCGAACGAACCAACCAAGAACCTATCACCCAACAAATATGCAGTGGAAGGAAGTGGAGATGGATTGGACATACACTGAGAAGGCCGACTGGGGACATTGCACATTAGGCCGTCGAGTGGAATCCGCATGGGAAGCGACGAGTTGGGTGCCTGAGGTGAGGGTGACATGGAGAAGATCGTGTGAGGAGGAAATGAGAGTTTTTGGTCTGTCGTGAAGCCAGGTTCAGAAGATTTCAGCGAACAGAGTTCACTGGAGGCGTGCTAGTGAAGCCCTATGTTCCATTAGAAACCCAAGGGATTAATAATAGTAATACTAATAGAAAAGTAATTTTACGGTTTGCAATAAGAATCATAGTTATATATATAATATGACTTACCAAACAATAATATTGACCGGTAATTTTTAGATATGTTATGATTGATAAATAAGATACTGAGAGTGGTGAAATCCCGTCAAACTTAAATGATGCAACACATTGGTGATCTGTGGAAATATGAAAATACCAATGATTCATGCTCACATGTAGATATAACTTTAAGAATACGTCAATAATAATAACTGAAATTACATGGATACGTTTAAAACAAAACTTATGAATTGAAGATATTAAACCAGTAATCAGTCAATAAGTAGTAATGATGGATAGTGGCTAGCAGTGGGATCCAGGATAAGTATTTCGTCCTATTTGGGACCCACTGGTCAGCTGGATGTATCTGCCTCTCAGTGAGTGATGCTGTTCCCACCATGAAGCAGGTGCATCCAGCTGACAAGTCCTATATTTATTAATTATTTATCCTTTGGGTTCCTAATGGAACATAGGGCTTCACTAGCACATCTCCAATGAGCTGTGTTCTCTGAAATCTTTTGAACCGGGTTCCACGACAGCCCACAAGCTCTCATTTCTTCATCGCAAGGTCTCTTGCATGTCACCTTCACTTCAGAGGCCCATCTTGTAGCTTCCCATTTGGCTTCCACTCGAATGCCTGTCCTGACCTGTGATGTCCCCAGTAGGCCTTCTCACTGTATGACCAATCCATTTCCACTTCCTTCTGCATATTTGTTGAGCGATAGGTTCCTGGTTAGTTCGTTGCCAGAGTTCCTTGTTGCTTGTTACTTCTAGCCATCTGAGCTTCAGTCCTAAATAGGATGAAATGCGCATCCTGGATTCCAATGCTAGCCACTATCATAAGAGCATAGGTAATATTGAGGCGACCGCACAGAATAGCATATGCTAATAGAGACCGATCAATTCGGTCCAGTCAAGGACGCTATAATATAAAAGACAATTATATCTACTAATATGTGCTTCTTTATGGTTTAGAGACTTCGCGCCTTACGAAAGGTATTCTTAAGAAACCACAGACATTCATCAACAACTGCCGCCTACGCTGGCTCGTTACTGAAGCTCAGATGGCCATGAAGAATAAGTAACAAGGAACTGTGGCTAGGAACGAACCAACCAAGAACCTATCACTCAACAAATATGCAAAGAAGGAATTGGAGATGGATTAGATTGGATATACACTGAGAAGACTCTTCGGAGACATCACGCTGCAGGCCAGGTACTCAAGTGGAACCTAGATGGGAAACGACGAGTTGGGCATCCCAGCTAGGGGTGACGTGGAGCAGATCGTGTGAGGAAGAAATGAGAGGTTGTGGGCAGTCATAGAGCCAGGTTGGAGAGACTACAGAGAACAGAATGGAATGGAGACGTACTACTAAAGCGCTATATTCCACTAGGAACCCAAGTGACAAATAATAATAAAAAATAGTAACGTCACACTAGTTAGCTAATAATGTTTTCTGAATGCTCTTGAGTACTTTATGAAGAAATAAATAAGACTTTCAGTACTGAAATGAGATAAATATTACCATTGGTTGTTTGAATGTAAGAAATAATCAACATTTTTATCACATTAAATGGTCTGAAATTCACATACTATTGAACATGAAGCAGATTCTAATATTCACCTTTATAAATTTCTATGCGAAATATTGAAAACTACTTTATTTATTTAAGTAATATATGTAGCCTGGATTCATTTCTGTATCATTATTCATTGTCAAAGCCATTAGGTTTTGGCATCATTTCAATTTTACAGTAGTTTACAAAGTTTATTTGCCACACATTTCTTATTAGTATTTCACTCAGTCGTTTTGAATGGAGTATATATTCCATCTGTTATACAGTGTATTAGACAGAAACTGTGGAGATTCAGGTACAGCTTTGTCTTAGTTAGTTTTCTGTAGATTAATAATCTTATTAAACCATATTTCCTTCATCCAAGGGGTTACCATCCATTACTTCACATATCAAGCTGTTGTGTATAGTTTGTTTTTCTTAACAAACAAGTTGCATCTTTTTTTCTGTTCACATGTGATTATGACATCATCCATTACAATAAGCTACGTGGTTGACCAAATCTTTAGCTGAATTTTCAATATATCACATAAATAAACACTAGTAATTATTTTACGAGGATTTCACATGATGACGCCGTCAAACGAATAGTAGTTTTGTATTCTCTGAGCTATGATATTTTGTCATGCACGAATCATTATACCTGCTAATCATACTGCTGACAGGATATACACAAAGCGACATGGATTTCACTACTATCACTGATGATCTTTCTGATTGTGGTCGGCTGGATCATGAAGCAAACCGCGGGGAGCGAGATAACGGGCATATGCTGGAATGATGAAGAGTTCTTAAGAAGATTCAGATTTCGCCAGTGATGAAGATTTATGTCTTATATCGCACAAACTATAGGCAAAAACCGACAAGTTCACAGAAGAGACAGAGCAGCGAAGACCGGACTTCAAGTGAATGTAGAGAAGACGGAGATGATGAGAATATTCAACCAACAGCAACAATAACAAGCACCAATTACTATTAACAGAAAAAACTTAAAGGAAGTTGTCTCATTCACCTACCTAGGCAGCATGCTTCCAACTACTGGTGGCACAGACACAGATGACGATGTCAAAGCCAGCCATGATCGGAAACACAACAACACAGACCTTCCTTCATTAATCTATGGAGATCAGTGTGGAAATCTACTGCTCACAGCATAAAGCGTGAACAACATCCGGATTTCCAACACCAGTGTCAGCCAACTAAGTCAGTACTTCTATGTGATGTTGAAGAGAGTCGGCGCATTACGAAAAGCATTTCCAACAAACTACAGACATACTTCATCAACAGCTGTGGCCAACGCTCACTTGATACTGAACATGAGATCAGATGACCAGAATAATAAGAATAAGGAAGAAGGAACTGTAGGTGGGCAATGAATCAACCGAGGAAGAACCAATCGGCCAACAAATATGCAGAGGATGTAAGTGGGGATGGATTGGACATACACTGAGAAAGCCATTTGAAGTTGTTCTCTGAACAATATCCATTATGATCCCAGCTGACATGAGTCGTCTATTTAGTTAGTATATTTACTAAAGCGTAGCAACTATGGTGAATTAAGCGATGGTGGATTTGATAGATAATTGAATGAATGGTAATATAAATATCTTCCCAGTATCTTGAAGAAATGATAGATTTCATTGTGGATAATTTTATATAATGTCCATGAATGAATATGAGTGAAGAGCTATGCTGAAAAAATCATCCCCTAAACTAATGAGTAATAGTCAACTATTGGTACTCAAGTGTAACCAGTTAGGGTTCAGAGTTCACTTAAACACAGCCCATGCAGTGAGAATTAAATCTGAGCTTTTAAGATGACCTGAACTAAATCTCATCTTGTTCATAGACATTTTGTGCAAACATTCAAATATTGCTATTGGAGATAAATTTGGGCACTATGATAAAGTATAATTCCATATTAGATTGTTTATTTATCATATCCAGAAGAATGTGATACAATATTATTTACTGGACGTTGCTTAGAAGCAGAATTTATTGCTCATTTTCATATTTAAGTAATTATATGACTTTCAGACTTCCTTCATATAGTCCAACGGTTCTTCATTCTCTCATCTTGAAGGTAGTAAACTTTCCTAGATATCTACAATATGTAATGAACCATTCCTGTTACATGTGTTACTTGTTGATTCAATGAACAAAGATTCTGTCGTCAATCTCTCCTTCTATGTAGCTACATTGGATTCTAGAACCATCACCCTATCCTACCCCATATTTTCATTATGTGTCACTGTATCCTGAGTGATAGTTAAGTTTTTCTCTAAATTGTCTATCTTAGTAGAGTGTACCATTTTATGTTTCTGTAGACTTTTGTTATGCTGACTGACTCAAATCGGGTGCTTTGACCCATATGCTTGACCTCACAATACTTACATGGTACTTGATAGATTAGGTTATTTATCCTAATCGCCTCCATTGGATCTTTGAGCCTACAGACATTGCCATTAATTCCCTTCACAAAGGGCGTGTGAGGGTGACATGGAGGAGATCATGTTAGGAAGAAATGAAAGCTTGTGGGCAGGCATTCGTGAGCCATGTTGGGGAGGCTGGAGAAAAGCGAGTGAAATGACGACAAGCTACTGAAGCCCTATATTCCACTAGAAACCCAAAGGATAAATAATGAAATAATATGTCCTTGAGGCGAATTATGAAAACCTCATTGGTCAAGAAATCTCTGATATATAAAACTTAAAGATAACTCATTTTCATTTGCATAATTGTATAAAAACATTTTAAATACAAGCAAAACTGAACAATGAAAAATAGACAACATTTCTAGAAGCATAAATTAGGACTGGTAACTGATGGCGATGTATACACATACCGCTCAAAATAACTGAGGGCCTCTAATTGAAACCCCAATGTAAATCAGTGATTTCGAAGTGGCATTTAACATGGATAGAGATCATTCGGAAACCAGTGAAAATTCAAGAGCACCGAACATCTGCTTTATCGTAGTCTGCGACTCCTTAGCAGTGGGCACTTATGACCTCCCAAGGGATCAAACCCTGGGTTACCATAGAGTCACTGCATTGGAGTCCAACGGTCTACATTTTCCCAATTCTACCAATTCGCTATATATCTCCAAGTCTATCGAATGCCACCTTTGAGCATTTGTCATCACATGCCAGCTAGTTGACTACACTGGTCGTTGCTTCTCATAAGAACTTTGAGAGACCCATCTTGAAGAGGATCATTAATGAGGGCTGGACGATCCAATGGCTACCTCCTCGAGATGAAACTCAAAAGTCCAGGGTTTTTCCGCTGGCAGGGTCATGGATTCTTACTCTTAAAGAGACAACTGTCTACTTCTCCCAGGTTTTCTCCAGCTAACTTCCGTCCATGATAAATGTCAATTTTATATCAATAGAAATCGCTATATATCTCCAAACTGCATCTGAATGAGTTTACCCTTTATAGTGAATATCTCTACTGAATTCTTAGCATTGAGCATGTAGCCGGCTTATCGGCAAAACTAAATTGGTCTAGCATATATAATCCAGTGTATAAAAGAAACGTTTCAACGTGATCTGAAGTGTAATCTGGTTTATGCATCTTACTAGCACTGTTGAAAGTTGGTGGCGGACACTCAATATCCCTGCATCGTTAGCGACCATAGTACATAGCAATTTCCAAATCATAACAGTGACAACGGAAATGGGATATTGGGAAATGGACTCTTCGAAGTTGGACAGCTTCCTGGAATAATAAATGAGGATTATCGAGACACTTACCCAATTCGAAATTTTCGGTACTGAATCATCGCCTACTAAACTAGTTTTAATAGCTACTTCACTTGATGCGATCTTCAGTAACTGAATTTCACTACTATCCTGATACCAATGAGACTTCTGATAGTTAGTTCAGGCGTTACGAAGACTTTTTCAGAGTGAATTTTTTTGACCAAGATGGTTCTTGGAAGGTACGTCTCCTACTTTGACCTACTCCACCTGAGCTCGTATAGTACTACAAAACGATTTTGCCGCGAAACCCACATGATCGCACGTTCGACACCACAATTCAGACACTGAATGATATGTCTGCAAAGTGTCAACAACTGGTCAACCTGCAGCCTGATAGAATTTTTGTCCAATCAAAAAGCCAGGGTGGTTCTGAAGTACCTACAGTTCGCCAGACACCTCACTCCTCCACGGCACCCCTTGGCCCTATCTCGCCTGTTTGTCGGCCCAGTAACTCATGTGATACTGACCAATCCTCGAAGAAGATACCCCCCATCGCCTTGCTGGTATTGCGGTGCCTGTTATTTAGTCAAATCTTGTCCACCTAAACAACATTGATGTTGGGACTTTAATGCTGCCGGACATAAGGATGGTTTTTGCCACCAACACACGCAACGACGTGTAAAAAGGTCATCTTCCAGATATCTTCTCAGTTCTTATCCTTGATCGATAAATAAATCTCTCGGTTTGATAGCTGATTTTCATGCTCATACACCTGCCCGCCGTAAGAATATTGGTGGCGGTCATAGCACATAGCAGTTTTTGAATCATAACAGTTACAAATGTTTTACAATGGAAACACACTGTTGGACACTGATATTAAAAGAACTCTCGATATGGAATATAAATGACAAATAAGTCTCAAAAAAAGGCAGAAAATTTGTCTACCTGATTTAAAAATACTAGGATAGATTTTAGGTTCACAATAATGTCTTATCCTTAGAACATTATCGAATTCTCCACTCATTCCTAAATGTGGATTAAAATCACTAATCTCCACTGGACAAGGTCCTTGATAGGTTGTATTGCGTTCACTATTGTCTGGAATCATTGAATTTGAGTTGATATGAGTTGATGTATCTGAATAATTTTGCTTTCTTTGGAGATAATTAGCTGTTTCTTTGCTTGTTGTGATGAATCGTTTTGATTGATCACTATACTTCATTGATTCGGGATACCAGAGATATATGGTGCCAGTAAGAAGGATTTGGTATAGACCACATTTAGTAGCTGTAGTTGTATAGGTATAATCTGAAAGTAGTTAAAAGCCTTTCTAGAATAATGTACGCTTTACAACTCACTTTCAGTGGGTTTTTTACTAGTTTAATACAAACAAAAATTAACCAATTTCCTGTATTATAAATTAGTCAGTTGATTAGAACATAGAAAGAAACCATTTAGAAAATCATTTCTATGCTAAGTGACATTCAACCTTTCATAAAGAAGTTGACCCAATATGTTGCATAATTTAATGGTTTCCTATGATATTAAACTATCTTTGAGTAAATGCTCCATGAGAAGAAATGTTAGATATCATGTCATTCTTTGGGAACAAACTATCGCAGAAACAACTGAATGCAGGTGATAGGTGACATGCTTCAAAGCTGACGTCTGGTACAGATATATCCTAACTCTTTCTACATCTTGCTCTCTACTCACTATTTTCTACCACTTTTGATTGCTTTCTCCTTTATTTCTCTAATTTTCATCTTGGTGTTTTGACATAAGCGGTGCCATGTTGAAACGTTACACATTAATGCCAGGTTCTTTGTTGATATTGTCAGTCAGTCTGTTTCAGTCATCTGCTGAGGTTATTCGAAAATGTTCACTCCCATTTCAGCAATATATTTTATCATAAAGGTATTGAGCTATCCAACAACGGTTTGACAAAGACCAGGATTTTAGTGAAACACAGATGATGCGGAACTTTATTCGGCAATGCGTTTCAAATGATATGAATGGTCTCACAGTATAAGATTCACTGTTCATCAATGAAAACAAAAATGGATAAGTATCTGGTTTAAGTCACTTAAAACCGATTTTACACCGCTAAATACACTAGTTGATGGATGAAGGCTACAAAAAGATAAGCTGTTTATCCATGTCACGAAAATTTTTCTAGAAAATCTGAGTCTCAGAGAAAGAAATGGCATTGAATGCTTCAATTAAAGGCATTGATCTAACCTCCGAATTCTCTTTCCTATAGTCAAAAAACGGTGATATTCCAGTTTGTTATAGTTTGCAGTTGTTGTTTGAAGTAATGACTGAAAGCATGACTAATGGAATGAAAATATTCACGAATTAATGCAGTCAAGATAACGGTGACATATCTTGTACTTAGTCCAAAATTCTTCCAGTTTGTTGTGAGATTTTGGAATCACCAAGTGCACAACAAAAAAGTGTGAAGAATACTAACGTGGTGAGTCGCTCAGACTGTTTTCCCTCACTACCTTACACTTCACTGAGTCACGAAAATAACCGAAAACAAAGATTGGACTGTAACTGTAAGGAATACACTTTATTCGACAAAAATTCCTTATTTATATGCAATTCTTATGAACATATAAAAAACCAGTAGGTCAAAAGTTGAATAGCTTATTTTGATTGGTCAGCTGTAGGATAATTTGTCCAATAAGGTTTTTCTTGACCACACAGGGGTATGATAAAAAAATTAAAAATGCAAAACTCCTACCTTAGAAGGTGATGACTTAAAATGTTGATTTTCATTTTAGCCGCTTCCGGTCAGTTTCAATACAGCAAGACTGATGAACTAGTGCATAACTCTGTAACTTAAAAATGTTTGATTTAACGTTCACTAAGCAGTTCACTATTTTGAAAAGACCATACTGGCATAATATACAAGTTCTGAGATATCTAACATGTTAGCTATTGTAAGCGAACGACTCCACTGACACATAAACTATTAAATAATGTGTAGACATGAAAATACCCATAGATTCTAGTTAAATGGAGGTAATCGACAGGAACCCCTAGACCTAGGTTTCGTGCTTGCTGGCACTAATCAGCAGGGTGTATCTGCAACTCCAACGGGACGTATGTTCCACCCGAGGTTCGAACCCATGCCACCCACTGTTGTAGTCAGCGACGTTACCACCAAGCTTTTCAGATCTCGGGTTTTAGGTGGGACATCATTTACAGTTACACCTTACTGACGAGTACCGACAAGCACGAAATCTAGGTCTAGGGCTTTGAGCTGATTGTCTCTATCCAACTAAAGTCTATGAAAGTGCATCGCGATGCTAAGCTAACTGCCTAATCTGGTGACAACATTTCAAGCTGATCGTTAGAACTCAGTCAGCACACAGCAGTCGTCTAGAAAACATGAAGTTGGTTACCCTCCAGGGACCAATGAATGCATGAATAGTATTCATTTTCTGTCGTTTACCCGAATGAAATTAAAATTCATTATTTGCATGCATAGGTTAGTTGTGGTCACTAGGTAAAACAGTTTGTTAACAAATACCGCATTATCTGAAATTTTTAATGGTTAAACATGCCAAATACTATGCGGCATGTATTTCGGTTAGAAAATTCTTATAATTCAGTGTGTGTAACTCATCAAGTAAGTTAATGGCCTGCTTTAAGATGGATTTCTCAAAGTTCGAACAAAAACTTTTGACTTATGGGGTCAGACAGTGGGGTTGTATTGACGAGTCCCTACTCATGAAACTGAAGTATACAAGGATGAGGTACTGTTAGTCAGGTTAACGGAAGTATTACCTAGTATATGGGAATTAAATATGATCCCCTTTGACAAGTCTAAATCACTGATTATCTCGGTCTTCAAAAATGGCAAGAAGTCCTCTTGTGATAACCACAGAGGAATCAGCCTGACGAACATATTGTCCAGGATTCTAGGTTCCATAATTCTTCGACGCCTGAGTGGAGCTCGGGGATAGCAAGCCAAAGGAAACCACGCAGGCTTTAGACCCGACTGCAGATGCATTGACCAAATATTCACATTGCACCAGTCACTGGAACACAGGCACGCTTACCGAAGCCCGAAAATAGCTGTATTTCTTGACCTAAAGGCGGCATTCGACTCCGTTGATCGAGAAGTCTTATGACAATGTCTCTCACTGCAAGGATTACCAAGTAAATGCACCACCTTGATAAAGGCTCTTTACTCAAGCACCTGTGGGCGTGTTAAAGCCAATGATGAGATATCCGAGGAGCTGTACCTGATCACGGGAGAATTTTCGTTAGACCTAGAATATGCAGATGACAGTCCTATCAGGTGAAGACTCCGACAAGATGAAGAGTCTTCTGAACACCTTGAGTGGCAATTTGAGATGTTTGGGATGCGTTTCTCACCACCCAACTGCAAATTATTGCTCCAAGATTGGTCTTCAACGGTGCCTTAGCTAACAATAGAGAGTGTAGTGGTTGAGTATGTCGACTACTTCACTCACATGGGAAGTAGGATCAGTCCTGCCGTAGTGGCTCAGTGGCCGATGAAATCCCTGTACTGACATAAAAGGCTCAGTTGGCTTTTGCCGAGTCACACCACCTGGGACACCGCCGTGATATCCAATTGTCTATTAAGGGTTGGGTGTAATGAACAGCAGTACACTCTGTCCTTCCTACTATGTGGCTGTGAAACATCACCAATGAAGGTGGAAGACATGGGAAGGCTTGAGGTATTTGACCACCGCTGTCTTAGTAGTATAGGCCGTATTCCGTATTCCGTGTCACCACATGAGTAATGCAGAAGTGAAGTGTAGAGTTTTGTGGAGAAGAGGTAAGTCAGTTGACGAGGTTGTGATTCTTCATCGACTGAGATGGTTGTCTGGGTCATCTGTTACGTATGCCTGGTCACCGTCTGACTCGTCACACAATGTTGGCTGAAGTAATTTCAGGCTGGAAAAAGGCCCGAGGTGACCAGACTAAAACATGGCATCAATGTATGAAGTCTCTGACTGTTTGTTTGAACCACGTAGGGTGATGCAGACTAGCCGGTTGGGGTCGGCGTGACAAGAGGAACCAGTGGTTGGAGACTCTAGGTGTCATATGGATGTGAACCGATGTCAGTGGGACAGATGTATACACACATTATCCTCATCTTAATGCTATGCCAAATCTCACCATTTTCTCACTCCTCCCTTCTCTCTTTTAGCACTTTATATTTCTTTTGACTGGATTTTCTTTTCTTCATCTTCCACTTCACTGCCTTTTTACTTGATATGGTGATATGAGCTGTGACAACTTGAACCGTTACACAGTAATGCCTGGTCCTCTGTTGATAGGTGATGATGATAACTCATGACACTGTTTATTGGTTGCAATATATCGTGAAATTATGAGAGTAGGGAAAGGTAGGCTTTTGTACTCCAACCTAGTGGGTGAGTGGTAACTCACTATCTCAGAGTCTCGACTATCCTAAATTAAATCCGCCTTGTAAACAGAGTGGATGCAGCTGAGAAGTTCAAGACTATGATATAAAAGCCATCCATTTCTTCCAAACTTTTATTGGTTCTTCAAAAGGTGTTAATCCACAATAAAAGTTACTTTTTTCTCAAATGGAAGGATTGTACTAACTGCTAATCAGCGAATAAAATAAATTTTACAATCATTTTCATTGGTAATTACAGTTCCCTAATGTTATAAATGATGGAAATATCGACGTTTGTTCTGTCCTGTATAACAAAGGGGAATTACAGATATCAACAGATAATAATAACTAATACCCTTTGCAAAAGGGGTGGCCCTCGATTCTCAGTGGCCTAATGCACAATGATTTGATGTCTGAAGCTGTAGATATGGAATTTGAGTCTGAGGTAGAACACTATCACTAACTGGGTGTATGTAAATCCAAATGGCGAGTTCCATTGTGGAGGAAATGTGCATCCTGCATTCCCACCACTGAGTGAGCTTTACTATCATCTGGTCTTAGCTCAGTAAAATATTCAATTCTCCACCATTTTATACAAGAAATATTTTGTTTTGTCATTTAGTTGAAGGTCGAAAATTTGCGGAATTTATCATATACAAAATTCACTTTTGAGAATGAATGGGGATTTTTTAATTTAGAAATAGTATTCATCATAGACTGACATCAGTTGGAGAACCATTGAAAATCTCGGAGCACTGGACAGCTGTTTCATCCTAGTATTAGAAATTATGAACCACTGGAAATGGTTAACACGTTCGCCGTGAAACCTGAAGGTCCTGAGCTCGATCCCTAGCTGAGTGGTGGGTGCGTACTGCTGACGGGTCTCGTGCTAGCACGAAACAGCTGTCCAATGCTCCCAGATATTCAATGGTCCCCCAACTGATGTCAGTCCATGATGAATGCTACTTCTGTATATGAAATTGATTAAATAGGTGATATATATCTATACTATAACTAACTTTCCTGATTTGTATTTCGAAGTAGTACATTTGCTTTAACTGGATAAATTGTTCGACCAGGAATTTGATTATCTGTATTGAATTGACATGGATCTGTAAGAAGACGTTTTCCATCAATTGCTTTAAAAGTAGTAAATTTGAAAGAAAGATTGGAAAAGTAAAAGCAACTAAACGATTTCACAAGAAATAAGTTTTTAAAAAATTATACCAATAAGTGAATAATTTCGGATGTTTTACTTTTTCAGAGCTCGGTAGCCTAATTGTAAAGTTTTCATTGTTTTTCTAGACAACATCATCAATAACACTGATGTCAATAATGAGTCACAAGTCTATGAAACAGCGATCAAAGGAAAAAAACTAATCATAAACCACTTTTTCATATCAAGCTACTCAATCACTTATGAAGAAATCCTGATAGGCTATTTCATATAGAAACTGAAGCTAGTAATGTTATCTAGAAAGGCAATGAAAGGTTTTTTGATGAACTCATCCAGCTAAGAAAAAGTAACACAACCAAGACTAATTAACTAGTGTTGAGATCCTGTTGAAAAATCTAATGCATATTTCAATACATCAAATTACTGATGCTTAAGGTAAGGTGATTATTATTATTATTATTATTATTATTGGTCCCTTGGGTTCCTAGTGGAACATAGGGCCTCAGTAGCACGCCTCCAGTGACCTCTGTTCTCTGAGATCTTTTGAACCTGGTCCCACGACAGCCCACAAGCTCTCATTTCCTCCTCGCACGACCTCCTCCATGTCACCCTCGGACGTCCAACTCGTCGCTTCCCATGGGGATTCCACTCGAGTGACTGGCCTGACGCGTGATGTACTCAGTCGGCCTTCTCAGTGCATGGCCAATTCATCTCCACTTCTTCCTGCATATTTGTTGAGTGATAGGTTCTTGGTTGGTTCGTTCCTAGACCTCCTTGTTGCTTATTCTTTCTGGCAATCCATCTGATCTTCAGTAGCGAGCCAGCGTAAGCAGTTGTTGGTGAATGTCTGTAGTTTATTGGAAATACCTTTCGTGACGCGCCAAGTCTCTGAACCATACAAGAGCACTGACTTGACTGAATTGGTGTTGAAAATCCGTATCTTGTTCCGCATGCTGAGTGCAGAAGATCTCCACACTGGTTTCAGGCTAATGAATGCCTGTCTTGCTTTTCCGATTCTGACTTTGACCTCCTCGTCCGTCCCGCCTGTAGTTGAAACAGTGCTTCCTAGATAGGTGAAGGAGGTTACTTCCTTTAAGTTTCTCCCGTTGATGGTGATTGGAGTTTGTTGTTGTTGTTGATGGTGGTGGTGCGGTATCTTCATCACTTCTGTCTTCTCTATATTCACCTGAAGTCCCGTCTTAGCTGCCTCTTCTATCAACTTGTTAGTTTTTGCCTGCAGATCTTCAAGTTTGTGTGACATTAGGCATAAGTCATCGGCGAAATACAAGTCTTCTAGGTTCTTTTCCGCCGTCCAGTCTATCCCCCTCTTCTCGCTCCCCACTGTTTGCTGTATGATCCAGTCCAGTCGACAACAATCAGGAATATCATGGGGGATAGTTGGCAACCTGGTCGCACTCCTGTCTTCACTTCACTGCAAAGGCATCACTGAGCTTCCCATTGTGAATTACTTGGCATGTGGCATCTTCATATAGTTGTTGAATGAGGCGGATAAAGGTTTGCGGTACTCCGTAGTATTGAAGCAGCTTCCAAATTACCTCTCAGTCGACGCTGTCAAAGGCCTTCTCAAAGTCGATGAAGTTGAGGCAGAGAGCTGATTGCCATTCTATGCTCTATTCTAAAGGTAAGGAGATAGATACGTTCAATTACACCGAAAATCATTGATCGAAGTTGAATAAAAATAGGCAACAAATGAAAATCATTCACTTCAATTTCTTAAGAGTCATCATTTTTCATAGCCTGACTCTACTATTCTCGAGATAACAGTGTTAGAACATACTGGATACCCTTGTCAAAAATGTGAAGCCATTTTCATTTGTCAGAACTAAGTAAAGTAACATTCTGTCAGCGGAACTATGCAGATATCCAACTCATGAAACGTTCATATCTGACTTATTAGTCATTCTAAACGGTAGAATATACCCATTTAATCATGAGAAAAAGCAAAAAAGGGAGATTCAGGTAACCATAAAAAATTTCTTTTCAAGAAAGTCATTTACTAAGTTTAATAATTTCCGGTTATAGGTTAGAATATATTGAATAACGAGAGTTAATTACGTAATACACAATGACAGTTTAGAGTAAGAAAATAAACAATGAACTAAGAATAATTGTTTTTATTTGATACCGTCAGTGATTGGACCGAATTGATCGGTCTCTATTGGCATTTGGGCTCCCTTACGGACGCCTCGATATTGCCACTGTTCTAATTATGTTATTGATGGATTGTGGCTAGCAGTGGAATCCAGGACCGACATTTCGTCCTATTTGAGACTCGTCAGCTAGATGCACTTGCTTCCCAGTGAGTGTTGATGTTCCCACCGGGATTCGGACTTGGAAGTGATCGTTTCAAACGCCAGTACGTTTTCCACTACACCACCGAGTTATCATTAATATAACCAGAACACTGGCAATATCGAGGCATTCCCACAGGAGCCAGTGTGTCAATAGAGGCCAATCCATTCGGTCCAGTCAACGACGGTATCATATAAAAACAATTATACTAAAAACTATACCCGTCGCACAAGAAGTGAATATCGTGGCTCGGTGGTGTAGTGGAAAACGCTCTCACGTATGAAGCGATCGCTCCCGAGTCCGAATCACGGTGCGAACAACATCGCACACTGGTAGGCGGGTTCATCCAGCTTACCAGTGAGTCCCAAATAGGATAAAATGCACATCCTGGGTTCCACTGCTGTACGGGAGCCCATATGCCAATATAGACCGATCAATTCAGGCCAATCAACGACGGTATCATATAAAAACAATTATACTATTTTTCTCATTGGTTGATAGATTGAGTCTATGCCTATACATCTATTGATTGCTGATTGACTGACTAACTGACTGACTGACTTGAATCCCAAGCTTCTACGAATTCTCTGATATTCTTTACGCTTCTTCTCTCCATCCAAGATTTCTACATTATCGAGACTGAATTCATGTCCATACTTGTCATCCACATCCATTGAAATCAGTGACGAAATGTCATGACGTTTAGTAGCCGATTGATGTTGATGTAGACGAAGGTGAAGAGGGCGACCACTTTGTCGAATGTGGTGTTGACTACAGTTATTGCAGTTGATATTGTAAATGATATTCGGTTTGCCTTCATTGGTTATGGCATAAATCAACAAATACCCTTTGAACACTGTTATACAAACCAAAGGATGCAACAAGCAAACAAGACAAACCGAATTTCATTTACAATATCAACTGCAATAACTGTAGTCAACACCACATTCGACAAAGTGGTCACCCTCTTCACCTTCGTCCACATCAACATCAATCGGCTACTAAACGTCATGACATTTCGTCACTGATTTCAATGGATGTGGATAACAAGTATGGACATGAATTCAATGTAGAAATCTTGGATGGAGAGAAGAAACGCAAAGAATATCAGAGAATTCGTAGAAGCTTAGGATTCAAGTCAGTCAGTCAGTTAGTCAGTCAATCAGCAAACAATAGATGTATAGGCATAGACTCAATCTATCAACCAATGAGAAAAGTGATAACCAACAGAAAGGTTAGAGGTCAAGCAGAGGAGCAGTCAGCAGGAAATTCTATGCAGTCGATGACACAATAATCAAAGGAAACAACCAATCACAGACCACATGGTCAGAGCAAGCCACTAAATCACTCAGGGAGAGATATTGACAGTTTACTGGATACTGAAGTTAATGGTGATGATGTCGTCTAGCAAGGGGATGAAAGCCCCACAATTCAACAACCCAGCTCAGAGAACACAGTGCAACCATAACTCTATGTTTATTTCTAAACCACTATCTTCAAAACTTGACTTACTCAAAATCTATGATTACTGTTCACCAACCCTCCCTCCACTACCACCACTTGATTGGTGATTTGGTTAAATTGTAGAACTGTATATTGATGTAGAGTCCAAGACGAATATCTAATCGAAAAGGAATATATTTGTCCGCTAGGCTTAACCAGTCTTTTTTTAAATTACACGTTACATTGGAGTAGACTTTTCACTGCTTAGTAGTATATCATATTTCTAAGCCTAGAATACTTAGCTTGAGTTTCAGATTCTTGTACTGACTGAATGACCTATTACCAGTAAACTTACACTCCGGTTTCCGCTGGTTCTTCATTCCAGACTCAATACTAATCCAAAGTCAGCTATCTTTTTCACATTACTGCCATAATTACTGTTATTATGAACATCATTTCAATGTAATAACCGTTTGGTCTGAAAATATTGTTCTGAAAGTGACTTCGTTGAAGAGTTACATTCTAAGAATTTGATAATGTACTACACATATAGTTTGGAATAAGGCGATTATTACTATTAAATATGATCGGCCAGTTGTTAAATCGGGCTAATTAGCTAAGAAACTCAACTTCAGCGTTTTCTTTTTACATCTTCTTTGTTCACCAGCTGAATATGACCTATAGCAATATTATTTGTTACACACAGCTTATAGTTATCAAGACCTTAGCGTGTCTGACATAAATTAATTCCATCATCTCGTACTAAAGGTTGGCCCCAGTTTCTTCAGGCAACTAATCAATTATTTCACTTTTTTCACTCAGTACTCAATATTTCTGATACTTATTCAATCAAATTTTTTTCATAGTTCAACTTTATTTAACAGTTCTACTGATTAGTAATGATGGACAGTGGCTAGCAGTGGAATCTAGGATGCTCATTTCGATCCAATCAACGACGGTGTAATACAAGCAATAGCACTAAACCTATACCCATCACATAAGAAGTGACTATCGTGGCTCGGTGGTGTTGTGGATAACGCTAAAAGTTATCTCCAGGTGTTATCGCGCTCGTCATAGGTTTCAGGGTTATCAATAAAAGTAAAACATTTTCTATGTTCTGTATGAATAACCCACCCAACTGTATAGTTTTCATAATACCGTCTGTCATTGAATCATGTTTCTAACTGTTTATTCATGTGTAAAGTTTTGGATGAACCCAGGCGGAAAGTAAATACATTTGATCCAGGATGAATGATACTCGCATATCACAGTGAGTAAGTTCAAGCTTCAAATTAAATCCAAAAGGATTTACTTTCAGCCTCATGCCCTTCCACATATTACCATTTATTTTTATATATTAGACATAGTTTGTAATTATTTAAGCTGCAGCGTGTTTGAAACGAAAATAACTCCAACGTTTCATACAGAAGTCTGATGTCAGCTTCTTCTGGGAAGTAATCGAGGATATATAAATGGAGTGATTGTAAAGGCCACTGTAACAACAAGTGAAATGACCAGTCAGATTTCTCTGTTTTATGAAAATCTGCCCTTCTAGATGAAATGGAGAAACTTAATTGATTGTTTTGATCGTTGCTAAAGTGGCCTTTAAATCGCCCATACAAAGGAGTTCAAAGACGAGGATTCAATCTCCTTGTCCAGTCCTCTTTGTATAGTCATTATCTCTTTCTAAAGTATGATAACTAATCATTCGTGGCTCGGTGGTGTAGTGGATAACGCTCTCACGTTTGAAGCGATCTCTCCCAAATCCGAATCCTCGTGGGAACAACATCACTCACTGGTAGGCAGGTACATCCAGCTGACCAGTGAGTCTCAAATAGGACGAAATACGCATCCTGGATTCCACTGCTAACCACTACCCATCATTACTATAGATAGTTAAAAGACAGGCAATATCGAGGCATCCGTACAGGAGCCCATATGTCAACAGACACTGATCCTTTCTGTCGAATCAACGAGGGTGTACTACAAGTAATAACACTAATCCTACTGATTGTTTTGGAGAATTCAGGTTGACACAGAAAATTTGTAAAATTTTGATACGAGAATCGTTGAGAATACATCCCACTAGACTTATATTATAGTGCTACAATACACGTAGTTGATTATGTATTGTTAATGAATCAGTTATAGTCAATTGGTTTGAAAATGCAGGCAAACCAATTGTGAATATGAATTAGTATACTTTAAATACTCAATGAAATATTGTATAGTGATAATCACTTACACATTCTATACATTATTGAATTGACACTTGACGACTCTTCAAAAACCTTTTTATTGCCACGATAGATTTCAAGACATAAATCTTTTGAATGGCTAAAATAGATTGTAAGACAAGTGATGATATATTCAATTGAAGATTCCAAGAGATTAAACCAAAGAACATAACAGACTGGATCTAAATTGTCATCCCTAAAACTATCAGAGTTATTGATTATTATTATTTGTCATTTGGGTTCCTAGTGAAACATAGGGATTCAGTAACACATCTCCATTCCACTCTCTTTTCTGCAGTTTCTCTAACCTGACTCCACCACTATCTACAAGCTTTCATTTCTTCCTCTCACGATCTCCTCCATGTCAACCTAGCCTCCGACGACCAACTCATCGTTTCCTTTTTGAATTCCATTTGAAGGCGTGGCTTGGAGCGTGATGTCTCCGAATGGTTTTCTCAGTGTATGTCCAATCCATCCCCACTTACATCCTCTGCATATTTGTTGGCCGATTGGTTCTTCCTCGGTTGATTCATTGCCCGCCTACAGTTCCTTCTTCCTTATTCTTATTATTCTGGTCATCTGATCTCATATTCAGTATCAAGTGAGCGTAGGCCACAGCTGTTGATGAAGTATGTCTGTAGTTTGTTGGAAATGCTTTTCGTAATGCGCTGACTCTCTTCAGTATCACATAGAAGTACTGACTTAGTTGGCTGACACTGGTGTTGGAAATCCGGATGTTGTTCACGCTTTATGTTGTGAGCAGTAGATTTCCACACTGATCTCAATAGATTAATGAAGGAAGGTCTGTGTTGTTGTGTTTCCGATCATGGCTGGCTTTGACATCGTCATCTGTGCCTGTGCCACCAGTAGTTGAAAGGATGCTGCCTAGGTAGGTGAATGAGACAACTTCCTTTAAGTTTTCCTGTTAGTAGTAATTGGTGTTTGTTGTTGTGGGTTGGATATGAGAGTTATTGATAGCCGATTCTTTTACCGATATAGTATCAGCTAGAGGTGTCCTGTGAGTAATGTTACGTACTTTGAAACACTTTCGAATGAATGACTTTTCTGTAGATACTTCTAAGCTAACAAGTAACAAACGTAGTTCAGTCACAAATAACTGGACACCGTTCTTGTTTGCTTCCAGGCTTACTTTCAGACATGAAAGTACAATAATTCTATTACTAAAGATCTCCACCACTAAATAAGAACAGAAAAATGCAATTTAGGGCTTTAAATTACAGTCATTTGGTTAGTTATAACAATTGACACTGGTTCGTTACAAAAATGAAATAAATTTTTGTAGTCTTGAACAGAATTTGGGATTCATTGTCAAAAATATGAATAAACCAAGCAACTACCTACCTACCTACCTACGAATAAATAAATAAATAAATTTACTTAAACCCCCACCTGTGTTTACGAAATAGTTTTCTCTACTTCAGTAAACAAGTTCAATTGGGGTGACGAGGTGATGTGAAATTTGTAAAGGTAAGCACATTAGCTGATAGTCTTTCAAAAGATCAGCAATGAAATGAGAAAACTTTAGCAGTCTATCATATACAACTGTGTATTAGATAAAAAGTGGGGACGGAAACTGGAATGAAAACTCCATGATAGTTAAAATACAATTGAACAAGTTAACTATCTGGAAACAAAATAAGTTTTTCCTGTCTTATTTCTGCTTTGACGGTTTGTCGAATTGTCGTTGTCTTAACATCGACTAGCATTTCATATTGAGTACTATGATTAACAAACTGAAAGAAATGTTCAACTCTGGTCCTAACTATTTTTATTACCTGAATTACAACGCGCGAGTTGGTTCTACAGCCATTAACATCGTAATAACTGAGTCCCAGTGAAGAAAAAGTCAAATGGTTAGCCTACACAATACAAAATGATTCGTCTTGACAGAAATATATATGAAGTGTACACTGTCTTAAAGTGTAGACAGCTTAATTGTGATTGTAAAACAAACAATGTGAGCGAAGAAATATTTCTTTTCAATTAGTTCCTCATCAATGGCTCTACACTAATGTATGTAGCATTTTCAAACGTAAAATTACATACCAATCTAGTGGTGAGAGTTGTTCTATGAAAGGTTATCAATCTCAAAGTATCAAGAAGGTGATAATTGATCAGGTAATTAAGACAGTGTTAACTAAAGCAAAGATTAATTATGGTAGAAAGATTTTGTGAACAGGTTCTTACATAGTTGATATTTTGTTTAATGGTAACTAAAGAGCAAAAATGAACTGTTACGTAAAGTGGTAAATTGTTGACGGTAATTAGAGACAGTAGGGGGAGAGAAAGATGGTTAAGTCTGTAATAATAATGATCATAATAATAATAATAATAATAATAATAATGATAATAGTAATAATAATAATGGAGCTATTAAAATATCAGTTATAGTGAATTGTGTGGTGGATGAAATGAAGAGTCTTGTTGTAATGAATGAGCTATACAGATGGCCAAGGTAAAGAAAGAGGCTATCCTAAAACTTGCTGGAAATCTCTACGTCGTAGCAGAGTTCGACCAAAAGGAAGAACATTTAAACGACATGCTCTTAACCAGATTGATTCTCTGAAATCATGCGTAACTGAGTTGATGAAAAATGTTGCAGAAAGATTCCATGCTGTTGAAGATCTCCCACATCACCTGAAACAGCCATTCTTGGAATACGTGAATCAAATTGTCAGCAAAAGGAAGGAGAAGAAAAGAATTCACCTTATTCAAAGCTTGGAGAACCGGACTCTAGAAATGAGATTTCCTCCAAATCCTGGTCGGTATGTTCATAATTTTTCCAATGTTGATCTTGACATGGTAACACTACAAGCATTATCTCTGGGTCCTAAGTTTTGTGACAGTCATATTACACCTAATAGAATAAACACTCAAGTCCAGTTTGAAAACTTATACTCACAGACAGAAGGCTTATCACCTTCTTCAAGTGAGGAGGTAGAAAGATTCAAGTCTAACCTGGTTGACTGTTGCTACAAATTTATGAATAGTAAGCAGAATGCTAGAGGCATCTTGACTAGAAAACATAGAGAAGCCTTACGTAAACTCCGAATGAATGAGGATCTGCTGATCACCAGGCCGGACAAAGGCTCAGGGGTGGTTATTATGAACAAAGCCGAATACCTAGATAAAATGAACAGCCTTCTCAGTGATGACAGTAAATTTCAGAAACTACCAACCAATACTGACATGACAGAGAAGACGGAGAGGCAATTATCCGAATCCTTAAAAAAGCTGAAACAGCAAGGCTTCATTTCACAAAATGAGTATGAAACACTCAGACCTACTGGCACAGTAACACCGAGGTTGTATGGTTTACCAAAGGTGCATAAGAATGGATTACCACTCCGACCGATTCTTGACATGTCAAACTCTCCATACCATGCGACGGCGAAATGGCTAGTACAACTCTTGAAACCATTGCATAAGGAGGTTGTAAAGCATAGCGTCAAAGATACTTTTCACTTTATCGATAAAATAAGAGATTTGAATGTGAATAATAAGTCTATGATATCCTTAGACGTATCATCCCTATTCACAAATGTCCCTCTGATGGAAACAGTGGACTTCATATGTAGCGAACTGGAAAAGAGAAACATAGAAATTGGAATTACGGCATCCACCTTGAAAGAGCTTCTCTTACGATGTACAATGAATGTACACTTTCTCTTCAATAAGGAATTCTATAGACAGTCAGACGGTGTCGCTATGGGGTCACCACTAGGCCCAATCTTAGCGGATTTCTTCTTAGCAAAATTAGAAAATGGCCCTCTGGAAAGCATCATAAGCGGGTTAGAATTTTATTGCCGTTATGTAGATGATACATTCTTGATTGTGAATAACGAGGACGATGCAAGGATCATACTGGATGAATTCAATGGCGTCCATCCAGCAATAACCTTCACTATTGAAACAGAAAGTGACGACAGCATCACCTTCTTAGATGTCCGATTGACAAGGAAGGTGGATGGAACTATAAAAAGAAGTGTGTATCGGAAACCAACGTCAACAGGTCAATACACCCACTTCTTGAGTTTCGTCCCCTTGCAATATAAACGAAATCTCGTTAAATGTTTGGTCCATCGGGCGAGACTCATCTGTTCAGATGATACTTTTGACGAAGAGCTTCAAATTATCCACGATCTACTCAGTAGTAATGGATATCCAGAAACGTTCCTGGCTAAAAATATGAACACATCCAATATGAAAACCAGAATGCCTACAGTCTCCAAGAAACCATTGTTCCTAAGACTACAATTTCGAGGTGACATCATCAGCGAAATTGTGACACAACGCTTAAGAAATGCCATAAGAAGATCATTTAATGCCGCCAAGTTATGTTGTGTTTTCTACAGCCGGCCGATGATGACCACACGAACTAAAGACAGACTCCCTGACTTCTCCTCTTCTATGTGCATTTACCAGTTCAACTGCTCCTGTGGAGCTAGTTACATTGGACGTACAGTTAGGCAAGTCCGTCGTCGAATCGCCGAGCATCATCCTTCATGGCTAAGTAAGGGGGAAACCAGATTGACACGAAGCTCAATACTCTCTCATCTGATTGACACCGGCCACCGAGTTAACATTCATAATGCCTTTAAAGTTATTTATCACATTCCTTCTCACCTCACCCATCCTCTACGAGTCGTCTTTTACATACAGCAGAAGCCATAGGAATCCACCTACACAAGCCAAGTCTGTGTGTTCAGAAGAGATTCGTACAGCCTCTTTCTTTGCCTTGGCCATCTGTATAGCTCATTTATTACAACAAGACTCTTCATTTCATCCACCACACAATTCACTATAACTAATATTTTAATAGCTCCATTATTATTATTATTATTATTATTACAGACTTAACCATCTTTCTCTCCCCCTACTGTCTCTAATTACCGTCAACAATTTACCATTTTACGTAACAGTTCATTTTTGCTCTTTAGTTATCATTATACAAAATATCAATTATGTAAGAACCTGTTCACAAAATCTTTCTACGATAATTAATCTTTGCTTTAGTTAACTGTCTTAATTACCTGATCAATTATCACCTTCTTGATACTTTGAGATTGATAACCTTTCATTGAACAACTCTCACCACTAGATTGGTATGTAATTTTACGTTTGAAAATGCTATATTAGTGTAGAGCCATTGATGAGGAACTAATTGAAAAGAAATATTTCTTCGCTCACATTGTTTGTTTTACTGAATATCGAAATAGGAATTTTTGCATTAATTGTGTAATCAACGAATGAGAACAAAATGCGGGAACATGAAGAAGATTCATATGTGATTGGTTTCAGCCCTTGCTTTTGCTAACTACGGATACAGCATTTACGTATTTACACTTCATGAAACTAAGGGCTCAATTTTTAATTATCTGATGATCTCAAAAGTTTATCGATTAGTCTTGCCGAATGTATGATGAAGAACCCTGGAACTAGAGAAAGAGTTTACGGATTTTACTCATTTACGTAGAGATTTAAGATGATTTTGAGTTTCTAAGGCTTCATTATGTCGAAATTTAAAGTAACTGGTTCCTTTGATAAATTGAAACAGCGTAATGACAAGACGAAGATTATCTGAACAATATGTCGTGATGTATTAAGGCTATACATTTCGAACAATCTGATCATATATGAACTTGTCGAACAATTTATATGAAAATTTTTCAAATGGGTCTATGAAGTTAATAGGAAACATCGGAAGAAAAGGGAGAGAAAAGAAAAAAACGTTACTCTTGGTATGAAAATTAAAATCAATGCACCACCAAGGTAGGTTCAACATGAGTACAAATTTGTTTTTGTATACATGAAGCAGGGGGGGAGGGTTGAATTTACGGATGGCAAAAGTTTCAGTAAATTTAAGCACTTGGCTCTGACCACTTTTATGTAGTACTTTAAAGGCTGTTTTCATGTCTATCCTATGGTTTGTTTCTAGTATATGTTTAGCGATAGACGAAGATGAATGCTTGTCACCTGCACTTATCGGATCTGTTGAGGTCATTTGTTTTTGTAGCCACTTAGGTACATGTTCAATCTTCCTTAACTGCATATCACGATTACTCCTCCCTACATATGTGTACACACATACATGTTTCAGATAATCTTCGTCTTCTCATTACGCTGTTTAAATAAACTAATGTCCCATCGTAGACTGACATCAGTTGGAAGGATAGAGGAAACCTGGGAGCATTCGACAGCTGCTTCGTCCTAGTATGGAACTCTTCAGCAGTGTGCACCCAATACCTCACACTACCAGGGATAGAACCCACGACCTTCAGGTTCTGCGGCCAGCATGTTACCTTTCATCCACTGGGTCAGGTCGCGTGTTCGATCCCTGATGGGGTCGTGAGTGAGCACTGCTGAGGAGTCCCATACTGGTCAGACGAAACAGCTATCCAGTGCTCCCAGGTTTCTTTTGTTCCTCCAACTCATGTCAGTCTACGATGAATAACAATTTGAAATATTTCCAAATCCCCACAACTCCCTCTAAAAACTTATGTCCATTTAAAATCAGACAATGTATGAGAGTAACTAAAGCAAAAAGGAGAGAAAATCAATTATTAGGTCAAGTGACCAATTGTTGACGGACATTAGAAACAAGAGGAGTGTGACAGCAAGATGTCTGAAACTGTAATAATAACTGCTAACGTTTGTGGGATAAAAGAATAAAAAGGGGATGTTTTATTTTACAGATAAGCTACACAGATGAACAAGGCACAGAAAGAGGATGTATAAATTTCTTCTGGACATACAGACTCGATTTGTTCAGGTGGATCCCGATGGCTTCTGCTGGATGTAAAACACTAGTTCTTAAAAAATCAGTGAGATTCAGGATAAATGTGATAAATAACTTTAAAGGTTTTGTGAATATTAACTCAGTGACCAGTGTTGACCAGATGGGAGAGCATTGAGCTCCGTATCGATCTGGTTCGCCTTTAACTTAACCATGGTGGGTAACTTTCGATGATTCGACGACAGACATGCCCAATATACCTAGTTCCACAACAGAAATTGAACTAGTAGTAGGCAAAGTTAGGCAATCTGTCTATTATTCTTGAAGCCATCAATGGTCAACTGTAAAATATGCAGCATAAATTTGCTGCATCGAGTAATCTCCTTATAGCTTTCCATAGGCGTTGTATCACAAATTCACTGATAATATTACCTCAAAACTTTGATCTTAGGAACAGCGGTTTCTTGGAATGTGTAGGTACTCTAGTTTTTATATTATATATCGTCATCTTTTTAGCTAGAAACTTTCCTGGATATTCATCACTACTGAGTAGATCACAGATATCTTAAAGTTCTTCATTGAAAGTATCATCTGAACAAATAAGTCTTGCCCAATGGACCAAAATTCTGACTTAATTCCGATTAAATTAAGGGGAACCAAACTTATCAGTCGGACATCTAAGAAGGTGATGCCGTTGTCACTTTCTCTTTCAGTGGTGAAGTTTATTCCTGGATAGGCAATGTTAAATCTGTCCATCATAAAAATTGCTTTATTCTCCTTCTTCAAAATTAGGAATATATGATCCACGTAACAATGATAAAGTTCTAACTGGCTTGTTATACCTTATAAAGAACTATTTCCTAACTGCACTGGGAAAAAATCTTTTCAGATTAGACCTAATGATGACACCATAGCAATATCATCTAACTGTCTGTAGAATTTCTTTATGAAGAAAAAATGAAAACCTATTGTACATCTGAAGAGAAGTTTCTTTAAGGTAGTCACCATTATTTCTCTTCATCAACTCACTGGATCTAAGTTCAGAGAAATCGATGAGGAACCAGTTGATAACAATTACTTCTTCTAAATGTCTTTACAACCAACTATATTCTACTCATTAGATATTTGGTTTGTCAAGTATGAACAGTTTTGTAAGAGAGAGACAAGCAGGATAATAATATTTTAACTTACCATCCATTCAACTGATGACTAGTTCGTATAATATAACGATCAACCAGGGATTCTTGTATCTCTCGGATACAGTAAAAACGTATACTGTAAGCAACATCATTGACAGAATAAATGACAAGTTTATCATCGGTAATAAGGAATTGTGTAACTAAACGACTGGTTGAATGTGCATAGGTTGTTAATTCTTGATTGTATTCGATTCAATTAAATCCCATTTACCATGATAATTAGAGTGGAATTTACATGAATCATGTAATAGGCTACCTATAATAGAAACAAAGCATATTTCAACCATTCGTCAAGTTATAACAATGATAAATAATAAGGTTGAATTGTAAGTTGGTCAACTGAAAATGTTAGCATAGATCTAATTGTTGAATACTAACCAAAAGGCTGTTTATATTTTAACTGCAGTTTTTTACGAATATCGAATCGAAAAACTGTACTCTACTCGGTAACTATATGCACATTCGTGCAGCAGGCAGTGAGCCGCGCTCCTATTGTGTGATGGTGAAGATATGGTGTGAGGAAGAAATGAGAGGTTGTAGGCAGTTGTGGAGCCAGGTTGGAGAGAGTGGAGCGAAGAGAGTGGAATGGAGGCGTGTTACTGAAGCCGTATGTTCCACTAGGAACCCAAGGGACAAACAATTTTATTAATAATAATAAGTTTTAAAAATCTGTGACAGTATTGTAAGACACGTCAAGTATACCGACAGACATCAAAGTGCATAATAACTTTGTTAGTCAGCACCAAGTGAAAAGCATCTTTAGGGAATTAGATAGTCCTCATGTTAACATCAAAAACAGAAATTCAACTAAGAGAAACATTTTCAGTGAACTTATTTATTTATCTTAAGATGGCATTCATCACTGACTGGCATCAATTGAAGAATCACTGAAACCTGGGGGCAACTCGACAGTTATTTCAACTAAATATAGGAGTTCAATGGTTTACAGTTTCCTATTTCTGTTAATTCGCGATGCAGCGTCATTATCCCTTAATGTCTTCAGTTGAAATCCATTTCACTTCCGATGGGTTGACCTCACAGGTCACAACTTCTCATTAACAGTCTGAGATATCTATCCCGTAACACGTCACTGATAAGTACTACATAGCAATGTAGTTTGAGATTTATGAGGTTCCTTAAGGTGCCACTAAATTTTTTTGATAAGTCCTGTACGCGAAGCTTGGTGAAACTGGTTTTAATTTTATGATCCCTGAACAATCAGAATGCCTTTCATTCCTTTCATAAGCTCATCGAAATGAGAAACTACGTTTAACAAAGCTAGAACAACAATTTTAACGGAATACGATGGATTGATTGCATTTCGTCACCTCCTCTCCAACTGCATACAGGTTGTAGGTTCATAGGACATATATAGGGAGAAATAAAATTCACATAATTCACCTATCAAGAAGATGATAATCCACTGATGACATAATGAAAGAACTGATACATTCTGAGGAAGTTTCAATGGAATAGTTTCTTCAATTTTGAGGTTTGTGAGGACTTATTGATTTCAGGTTGGTATTCATCATGAACTTACATCAGTTGGATGAACACTGGGAAGCAGTGCGCACCTATGACTCTGCCCCCCCCCCTCCAGGGATCGGACCCTAGACATTCAGATTCTGTGACCAGCACCTTACCATTGAGCCACTACGTTGGAATCCAGTGTTCCATATTCCCAACTTCTGTTAGTTCACGATATGGCGCGAGTTCCATCTAATGCAGTCGCTGAGTAACTTTCCTCATGTCCAACCTGGTTGGTTCGTGAACTGACAGAAGTAGGAGATATATGACATTGGGTTCAATGCAGTGGCCCAATGGTAACATTTTGGCCAGTGAATCTGAAGGCCATGAGTTCGATACCTGGAGGGCGGATTCGTGAAAGTGTACTACTGAGGAGTTCTAAACGAGGAAGAGGCAACTGTCCAGTGGTCGCAGGTTTCCACTACTTCTCTACTTGATGTCACTCCATGATGAATATTAACGTGAAATAATTTGTGATAACTAAAATTGAAGTTATCTTATGTTTAAACAGTTAGATTGTCATGCTGCTACATGTGACCAATCAAAATGGAATAGAAAGTATTACGTAAGTGTATGGGAAATGTTTTTTCCATGGGTTAAGGTGAAGTTTGACAGAGTGAAGATAAATAGGAATTGATTACGAATTCAGTTTTAAAAGAGCAGCGGCTGGAAATATAGAACTTATGAAGGAGTTATACTGAATAACTAAACAAATCAATGGTTTCCATGGAAGTTGGAGGTTAACAACTGCCGTTTTTTGGATGTAAATCTCGGTTTAATTCTTCTAATAGAAATTACTTCTGTGAATCATAGTGGCATGACATTGTTTTATTTGTTGATTACTTTTAAACGCTTTCGACATCTGAACGTCGTGTCCTGTGTCCATAAGATGTTTAATAATAGAATTTTTAAGACACTTTGCTTTCTTTAAGCTTAACTTATTTGCAATGTATTCATAAAATCCAGTCCCAGTCCTCTTGTCTGTCTTCCCAGTGTATGTGCTCTTATTTGAAAAAAGAAATAATTGCATCTATTCTCAATGCTTTTTACAGTTTGTAATCAAATCAGAATACCATTTACTGTTAGATGCTTCAACTAATCAAGATAGTTACTGAGAATATCCATCAAGACATTAGAGTGAATGAGCAAACATATCCCTATTTTGGCTATTTCATTCTCCATAGCTGTTTAATCACAATATATACATTTTGTTTAACTATATAGGATAGTTACAAGTTGATTGAAAATTAAAAATCCACAAGTGTAATGCGAAGAGAAAATTAATTACAAAAGACCATAGAAATCAACATGATTAACCGAATGGTATATATATTATGATTATTTTTGTTTATTATTTGTCCCTTGGGTTCCTAGTGGAACATACGGATTCACTACCACGTCTCCAGTCCACTCCCCTCTCTACAATCTCTCCAGCCTGGCTCCACGACTACCCACAACCTCTCATTTCTTCCTCACACCATATCCTCAATGTCAACCTAACCTCCGATGACCAACTCGCAGTTTCCCATCTGGGTTCCACTCAACGGCCTGACTGGTCTGACGCGTGATGTCCCTGAATGTCTTCTCAGTGCATGTCCAATACCATCCATCTGCACTTGCTTCCAATGCATATTTGTTGGGCGATGGGTTCATGGTTGGTTCGTTGCCAGCCAGCCAGCCAGCCAGCCAGCCAGCCAGCCAGCCAGCCAGCCAGCCAGCCAGCCAGCCAGCCAGCCAGCCAGCCAGCCAGCCAGCCAGCCAGCCAGCCAGCCAGCCAGCCAGCCAGCCAGCCAGCCAGCCAGCCAGCCAGCCAGCCAGCCAGCCAGCCAGCCAGCCAGCCAGCCAGCCAGCCAGCCAGCCAGCCAGCCAGCCAGCCAGCCAGCCAGCCAGCCAGCCAGCCAGCCAGCCAGCCAGCCAGCCAGCCAGCCAGCCAGCCAGCCAGCCAGCCAGTCAGCCACACAGCCACCCAGCCAGTCAGCAACCCAGCCAGCCTACCACAGTTCCTTGTTTCCTATTCTTATCATTCTGAACATCTGAGCTTCACTAACGAGCCAGCGTAGGCACTTCTTCATGATGAATATCTGTAGTTTCTTGGAAATGCTTATCGTAACGCGCCAACTCTCTCAAGCATCACATAGACTCATTGACTTCGCAGACATTAGTGTTGAAAATGAGGATGTTGTTCACGCTTTATACTGAGTGCAGAATATTTGCACACTGGTTTCAGGTTGAAGAAGGCGTGTCTTGTTTTTCTGATGCTGTCTGGTTTTGACGTTCTTGTCTGTGTGTGTGCGGCCTGTAGTTGAGACGATGCTGCCTAGGTGGGTGAGTGAAGGAGGCTTCTTCCTTTAAGTTTCTGTCACAGTTTAGCGAATTTCGAATACTCACGGAAATTTCTGGAAGTTTTAATGAGGTGTTGTGATTACTGGGGCAAATTAAGTCGGCTTTGTGGACAAATACTCAACGATAAAATTGGACGAAAATAGAAGCATTTAGCAAATTGATTGAATTCAGATAATTTAGAACCATTAAATTCCAGCCAAGTGGTTCAGTTGTTTATTGATGGCTGCAAGACCTGGAGGTACTAGATTCTATACATTAGGGGCTGGTGGTTGTTTATCACTGAGAAGGTTTATTCTAGGGCCAAAAAACTATCCAGTTGATCTTGGATTCTGAATGGATTTTCGTTTGATGTTTATCCGTGTTAAATACCATACTGAAGACCTATGTAGTAATCTAACTATACATTATATAACAGATTGAATTAGAAGATACTTTTAATAACTGAAACATGCTCTTACCACATATCTGCCCTGGTACCAAACAACTTCTATGACAGAAAAATTGATTCTTTGCACTGTGTTCACATCCATACTTGCAAATGACACGTTCATCATCACAATTTCCGACTAATGAAAAGGTGCACGTATAAGAAATAAGAGATAAAAACACAGTACAATTATCCTGTTATCTGTACGACTGAATCATAAAATCATAGTGATTTATAAGGCATACAGGAAATACTTGACTTATTTTTACACTTACAATAACCGAGTGACAGGCCACTATTTTATTATGAAATTTTTGAGGGAGTTGTGGAGATTTGGAAATACTTCAAGTTGTTATTCATCGTAGACTGACAACAGTTGGAGGAACAAAGGAAACCTTGGAGCACTGGACAGCTGCCTCGTCCCGGTATGGAACTCCCTGGTAGTGCGCACCCACGACCCAACACCACCAGGGGTCGAACCCCTGACTTGACCCAGTGGCTCAATGGTAACACACTGGCCACAGGACCTGAAGGTCGGGGGTTCGATCCCTGTCGGTACGGGGTCATGGGTGCGCACTGTTGAGGAGTTCCATATTAGGACGAAACAGCTGTCGAGTGCTTCTAGGTTTCCTCTATTCCTCCAACTGATATCAGTCTAGGATGAATAACAATTTGAAATATTTTATTTTGATTTAAATAGATTAGATGTGGGAGAACACCCACATGTTGGGGCTTACTTCACATAACTGGAGTTCATATAAGTCGCTGAGTTGGTCCCGAATAGCAAATTCGACTTTGATTTAACAATGGTTACACGGGTGTGGAGTGCAACGTTACAGTTAGACAAGCTTGATGCGATGCATACATTAGCCTTGAACACACTTAAGCCAACTAAAGCGGTTTTCACTATGAACAATCCCTGAAAATCAAGCTGCTGTGAATCTACCGATTTGTATAAATTCAAACACTCAGCAGTATATCACGAATGTATTCAAACCTCTTAGATTTTAAAGTTTAGAATAGAATGTGTAGACTCACATCCAGTACTTTTATACCAGTCAAATCATCTTCATAGGGTTTGGATAGAAAAAACCCCTGAACACTTTTCATCTACTCTTAACATTATTTGTGACCACGGTTATACAGATATCATTTGGATTCTGTAATCCCGCCCGTTGATTAATATGACCATTGTATTTGTTCACAACTAAGACTTGTAATAGAAACTTAAAGAGTCATAGTAACATTTTAGTTTTGACTAAATTCTGTATCTAAATACTAACTAACATTAGTTTATCCAAAGAGATTAATGTTACTGTAATATCTCCATCTCTCTGAAATAGCTAACAGAACACAACAAGGCATCGTAGCGGACAAGAATACCATTTAAACAGGGAGTTTAGTCAGGCGGTTAGATCAATCTATTGATGATAATAGTTTCTTTGGGAAAAAGTATACTAACAGATATCTGTTTGTGGTGAGCATTACCTTTAACAGTAAGTAGATGTCAGATAACCTGATGACCATTAACCTCATGCAAGCATGTGACATAGAACACAATGGTATTTATGAGATCGTTTCGAAAATCGGTGCGTTACACCTCAATAGACTTAAACAAATCATTCATCAAAGATCTTTCTGAGCTGAGTTTAAGAATTAAAGTTAGACGGAAACATTTAAAGTCAAAGTAAAACTAACAGATGGTCATTTCAGGTGTCTTCTAGCATATATGTGGATGAAAACGGCTGGTATGCCAAACGTTGATTGTGTTGTGTTTTATGAGCTTGTAGCTTTCATCGTCTTTCTAGACACCATTAGCGCTAACTTCAGTATGAAATGAGATATATCAATATCTCTCCGCCATTCATTCAGTAAATTGCCCTAACGAACTGGTTTGGGATTGGTTATCTTCTTTCGTTGTTGCATCACTGGGTGTATAAACTTTCCTGTTGGCTGCTAATCTGCTTCGTCTCTGACCTTTCTGTTGGTTATCAGTCTTCTCATTGGTTGATAGTTTGAGTCTATGTCTATACATCTATTGTTTGCTGACTGACTGACTGGCCTGAATGCCAAGCTTCTACGAATTCTCTGATATTCTTTGCGTTTCTTCTCTCCATCCAAGATTTCTACATTGTCTACATTGAATTCATGTCCATACTTGTTATCCACATCCATTGAAATCAGTGACGAAATGTCATGACGTTTAGTAGCCAATTGATGTTGATGTGGACGAATGTGAAGAGGGTGACCACTTTGTCGAATGTGGTGTTGACTACAGTTATTGCAGTTGATATTGTAAATGAAATTCGGTTTGTGTTGTTTGCTTGTTGCATCCTTTGGTGTGCATAATAGTGTTTGTAGGGAATTTGTTAGTTTATGAGTCACAGCAATTGCAAGTGATCTCAGCAATCTTGTCATGATTTGTGATATATTCTTTATGTATGGTAGGACGATCCATTTGTTCATGTTTGTTAGTGACTTTGTAGTTGATGATGTACAGGATACGTATCTTGTGATAAAGTTTTATGGTTAGCCGTTCTTCTTTAGGGTGGACATCAAGGAATTTCCTTCGTTTCTCCGTGAATTTTCGCCCTTTTGAATAGAGTCTGCATGCAACCAATTTTGTGCGTTGTTGGGTTGTTGCTACTGTAGTTCAAGATTTGATATGTGTACATCGCTTTCCTGTACACTTGAGTTTCCAATTTTCCGTCAATAGTTCTACTGATCTAAACACCCAGGAATGGCAGTTGGTTGTTCTACTCTTTCTCTATTATGCATTTGATGTTACTTAGAAAGTTGTTGTTGTAAAATGACAAAGAATCTTGAGGGGGTTGTGGAGATTTGGAAATATTTCAAGTTGTTATTCATTGTAGACTGACATCAGTTGGAGGAACAGCTGGACGAAACAGCTGTCCAGTGCTCCCAGGTTTCCTTTGTTCCTCCAACTCATGTCAGTCTTCGATGAATAACAACTTGAAATATTTCCAAATCTCCACAACCCCCTCAAAATTTAATTGAACTGGTGCTCATTGGTGACTAGCTTCGAGAGGTATTCCCGAGGTTCCAATGAGAAGTCGTGACCGGTGGAGTCAAAGCCTGATGGCCGTGAGGACAAATACTCAACGATGACATTGGGTGGCGGTTTGCGCTATATCGTGAGCTAACAGAAGTTGGAAATATGGAGCATTGGATTCTGACCCAGTGGCTAGTTCAATGGTAACGCGCTGGTCGCGGAACCTGAAGGTCGCGGGTTCGATCCCCGCTGGTGGGGTCGTGGGTGCGCACTGCTGAGGAGTCCCATACTAGTCGGACGAAACAGCTGTCCAGTGCTCCCAGGTTTCCTTTGTTCCTCCAACTGATGTCAGTCTTCGATAAATAACAACTTGAGACAAAGAATCTGTTAAATATTCAGGATTTGTGAAGGATAAAAACAAAACCGAGGAGGAAAGCACTGGCAAGGAGTAAATCTAAAAGAGGTATTGATAACTTATGAAGAAACTTAACAAAAACCTAAGTTATTGACTACACCTTCGTTGTAAAAGACGAATCATGATATCATATTCAGAAGAAAATGTAAAGAGGATGTTGACAAATCATTCAGTTTGTTTCCAATTATTTTACAAGTCCCCAATATCCAAACGCCAGGTTGATGATATAGATCAGTTGGGTGAAAATGTTAGTGAGATCCAAAGAGTTGTAAACACCTTTCATGATAGTGTTAGAATGTCCTGCGGGTGTCTGATACACTAAGAATGTGAAATTCTTTTTCAAGAAGTACTTACATTTATGCCTACTTTGACAACAAGGAGCAAAGTAGTTGTGCACTTGAACGTGCAAGGTTTCAACTTCATGACTAAGCTGATGTCTGTGTAGGCTTCATCAGAAAAAAAGTTTCTTCTGCTTGTAAAGAAAAATGTTTTTTAACTTAGGCAAGGTATCTTAATGTTTACTCATAGATAGTAGGCATTATTTCACTAGATGGCAGCAAATTACAGCTTATGAACATGAACTACTATTGAAGTTTAAGCACATATGGTCACTAATATCCAAGATCTGGTCTAATGTCTTGGAATTCAAGAAAAAACTATGTTGGCCTAATCCATGAAGTGGTAACTGGATAAAGCAAACCAGTAAATGAGTATATAGCCTTTGATTGGTTGATATAATTAAGGGATATACCATGAATGGCCTAGTCATGTCTTATCGTACAACACTATCTGAAATCGAAATGAATTGGAGAATAACCCAAGGTGGTACTCAAAAGTCACATATTTAATACCCAATCTGATCATGTTGAGGACTCAGATATTTCTTGTTCAATTTTAAGAATAATAAAACATAGACATTATGAATCGAAATAGATCGAATTACTGAAATATATCCATATATCATCTTCGGTAATTTCTAAACGTCGTTTTAGTCTATACACAACCTATTCTTCTGGTCTTTCTTACTCTTCTGTTTCTGGGGCTAATGATTAAGTCGTTATGCGGTTATTTCAGATATGGTAATCTACTAATTTTGATATATGTTGGGATTCTTTGAAGTGAAGTTGTTCTTAGTAGGATGTTTGGTTTCTGTGATTTTGGTGCACTATAAGAACATGGGAGAACAGGTTCATTGGATTTCATTAGCCATTGCTCGTCTTCTGTAATTTGTCCCGCTTTAATGAGTTTTTTTAAGGTCTTGGTGATTTGGCTACCAAATTTTTGAATGTGATTTATCTCGATTGGCTGACATACATTTTAGTCCATGAATAAGTCTTCTGCCTTTCTGATTTAGTAGTCTTTATCCATGACTACTGTGATGCGCTGTTTATCAGTAATCCTACCCTTACATGAATAACGTTTCCGAGATCAAGACTAGATTACTGAAGCCTCTTGGAACCTCTGTATCTCACAAGCCCACAAAGTCTCCTGACTCTCTATCATGCAGGCCAAAAGTTACAGTAGCAAAGGATGATAAAAGAAACCGCAGGAACTGCGAAAAACACTATATTGGATAGAGATTTCGCCCTTTTCGCATGCGTCTACATGAACATCAACTAGCAGTGAAACATCATGACATGTCTTCGCTCCCATCAGGGGATACAAACAACTGTAGACATGAATTTGGCTGGGAAAATGTGGAAATCGTGGGTGGATAGAGGTAATACAAAGAAACCTAGAGAATGTTGAGAAGTTTGGTGATCAGGTCAGTCAGATATTTACCTTAATCCAGTCTACCAACCAATAAGAAGGAAAAATGAGGTCAAACTTCAGATCATTAGGATAACCAATCAAAATAAACATGAAGACAACAACAAGAAGTTAGCAGAAGCAACCATTAGTATACATGGTCATCTTGATAGGCTACTAAATGATTTGTGGAGAAAACCTTATTGGTTATTTATATCTGAAGTTTGTGCTGATGATGTTATCTAGAATGACGACAAAAACTCCACGAATAAACAACGCAGCTCAGAGAAGTCAACCCCATCCGAATTAACCTCGTGAGCTGCAAATATTCTTCATCAACTCAAAATAGTAATCTATACCTTGACGTCCTTATGTCACGTTAAAGGTTAGTTACATTTCTATTCACTTTTCAGTAATCATGTCTATCAAACTTAACTTTTAGAAAAGAAACCGTTAACACAAATAATTTACAGCTTACAATGAGGTAGGTCGATTGTCGAGTTTGGGATCACCACCCTCAATGATTGAATAATGAAGAGAGTAGAACAATAAAGAGCTCCATATTTGCACATTTTATAGGCACTGCACATCAAGTGGATGCCAGAAAACCATTTTGAGTTATTCATCGCATACTAATCAATATATAACATGGAGTACGCATTCGCTTACTTCACATAGCAGAGGTTATTGCAATCCACCTTTACAAACTTATTCTTTGTATTCAAAAGAAATCTATCCAAATGGTTTCATTACCATGGCCAACAACATGATGTAACTTTAAGTATCAACTTTTATACCTCTACTCCTCTTGTTCTACTAATATTCATTCGAGTTAGTATTCATCATGGACTGACATCAGTTAGAGGAACATTGGAGATCTGGGAGTACTGGACAACTAGAGGTCCAGGGTTCCATCCCTGGAGGTCAGGGTCATGAGGGCGCACTGCTGAGGAGTTGAATACCAGGACGAAGGAGCTGTCCAGTGCTCGCAAGTTTCCAATGTTTCTCCAGTCCATGATGAATACCAACGTGAAATCACTAAACCTCTACTAACCACTAAATTCAATATTCATTCGCTTTCTTACCACTAAGTAATTATGCATTGTTTACAACTTACCACTCCAGAAAAAACATTCTATCTACTTTACCATTAATTATGCAATTTACATGGGGATAAGTTGTTTCACATTATTACAAATATCACTTTTAATCCCGTATAACTGATCAGCTGATTATTTGGATCCTAATTTCTCAAACTTATCATCTTCATGACTTACTTAATGTACGTGGTTGTTGTTCACCAACCTACACAAAGCGATACGAATTTTGATTGAATTGTTAACCTACATATATTAGTGTAGAGCTAAAGACGAAGGTGATAACTGAAACGCGATATACTTCTTCACTAAATTATTCTTTGTTTCTTAATGTCTAAATTTATTACTATTATTTGTCCCTTGGGTTCCTAGTGGAACATACGGCTTCAGTAACACGCCTCCACTCCACTCTCTTCTCTCCACTCTCTCCAACCTGGCTCCACGACTACCCACAACCTCTCATTTCTTCCTCACACCATATCCTCCATGTCAACCTAACCTCCGACGACCAACTCGCAGTTTCCCATCTGGGTTCCACTCAACGGCCTGACTGGTCTGACGCGTGATGTCCCTGAATGGTCTTCTCAGTGTATGCCCAATACCATCCATCTGCACTTCCTTCTAATGCATATTTGTTGGGCGATCAGTTTTTGGTTGGTTCATTCTCAGAGTTCCTTGTTGCTTATTCTTTCTGACCATCTGAGCTTCGGTATCGAGTTAGGAGCGTAGGCACTTCTTGATGATGAATATCTGTAGTTTCTTGGAAATGCTTATCGTAACGCGCCAACTCTCTCAAGCATCACATAGACTCATTGACTTCGCAGACATTAGTGTTGAAAATGTGGATGTTGTTCACGCTTTATGCTGAGTGCAGAATATTTGCACACTGGTTTCAGGTTGAAGAAGGCGTGTCTTGTTTTTCTGATGCTGTCTGGTTTTGACGTTGTTGTCTGTGTGTGTGTGGCCTGTAGTTGAGACGATGCTGCCTAGGTGGGTGGGTGAAAGAGGCTACTTCCTTTAATTTTCTCCCGTTGATGTTGGTTGGAGTTGTTGTTGTTGTTGGTGGTGGTGGTGGTGTTGTTGGTTGGGCATCATCATCACCTCTGTCTTCTCTACGTTCACCTCAATGAAGTCCTGTCTTTGCTGCCCTGCCCCACCTCTTCTGTGAAGTTGTGAGTTTTTGCTAGTAGATCTTCGAGTTTGTGCGACATTAGACACAGGTCATCGGCGAAATCCAAATCTTCTAGGCTCTTTTCATGGGTCCAGCCAGCTTATCCCCCTATTCTCGCTCCTCACTGTTTGTTGCATGACCCAGTCGACCACACTAAGGAAGGTAATGCGTGATAGTAGACAGCCTTGTCTTACTCGTGTCTTCACTTCAAAGGCATCACTCAGCTTCCCATTGTGAATTACTTGGTATTTGGGGTCTATATATAGTAGTTGAATGAGGTCGATAAAGGTTTGTGTCACTGAAGCCATAGTGTTGTAGCATTTGCCAAGTTACTTCTCGGTCAACGCTATCAAAGGCCTTTTTAAAGTCGATGAAGTTGAGGTAGAGTGTTCTTAATGTCTAAATAGGAATTTCTAATGTACTGAAAGAAAATATTATTTCACATAATGTACGGTAAATGTTAATCATAAGTACTTACATGCTCTTCGAATCTTCATTTCATACGCATTTACAAGAGTATTAAATGGAGTCATTTTTCTTGATTCCGGTAGATATTGTTCAACTAAATCCCACATATAAATACGATTATTTATAACTTTTTCAACTTTTTCATCTGATTGTAAACCGTAAATAATCCATACTGGGGATAATCTTTCATAAGTTATTGATTCTGTTGATAATTCCACTGGCAGTTGTACATAAACCTTGGATAGTAATTGTATTCAAAGATATAAGGTGTAGTACAATGATAAATATTATATCTAGACGGGTAAATATAAAAGTCTATGCTTTTCAATGATCAGTAATATTTACTATTGAACATTTTCCTAAATCAAGAGAATTTTAACTGTGCGGGTTATTCAAAACTACTTTAGTTTTATCCTGTGATAAAAGAGGAGAGAATATTTATGGTTCAATAAGGTGAATTTAATAGGATTCTATGCCCCATAGTTACATTTTTCACTTGTATACATGTGATCACCAATCAGAAATCAGGCACCATGTCTCATTTATCCTGCTTTCAATGCATGTGTACAATAGAATATATGACTTGGGATGGGAATTTCCCAAGGAGGGTAAAAAACGTTTGGGTTAAGATGAGTAATCAATGAGTTAGCATATTTTTATGGACTCAATCAGATAGGGAATTAAAAGTTCATAAATCCATTTGGGTTAGAAGTCTACTCAAATATGCATACAAACGCTGACAGCAAGAATACACTAACATCTCAGATGGCTAGTAGAATATATTTAGCCATTTGTGAAGAAACTACAACTAGAATAGTTCAGTGACAAGGTCTCTAACTGCAGCACTGGTTAACTCAGGTTAATAACTCTCAAGGGATATCATATCCCTTGAGGTTATGGATATGCCCTGCTGACCAGTGTCGACAAACACGAAACTTCGGCGAAGCAGGCCGATTGCTTGCAACCATCAAACAATTATTGAGTTATTAAGAATGACAATCAACCCTCAGAAAAAGGAACAAGCAAAGTAAACAGTTACTATAACATGAATTCTTATACAGTCATCATTAGTGCAAATGAGAACAAAGATTTATACACATACCTCTAGACCTAAACTCTTTTGACATCAATAAAATTTCTTTAAGCTGATGTGAGAAAAAACTGGGTCATATAACAACTGGATAAAGGTTTTGGACAAATTAGACTATATGGAAAAACCATCACTCATTCTATTCGTTGAAAATAAACCATTAGAACGAAAAAACAGAGAGATCCAGCTTAGCGAATAAAGTGTCACTTGTCGAAGGTACTGTAGAAAATGACAGATAAGTTATTTATTAGAAAGGAACCATACAAACGACTCCATCTACTGAGTTCTACGATCCCAAAATACACAGAAAAGATATTCGATTCCGTCCAATAATAGATATGATAAACTCTTCAAATTATTCAATCATAGACCGGTGCAAAGACCCTAGAAGATTTGGATTTCGTCAGCGATGATGATTTATGCCTAATGTCTTATGTCACGCAAACTCGAAAATGTACAGTCGAAAACCAACAAGTTAACAGAAGAGATGAGGCAGCGGGGACAGGACTTCCTTCAGGTGAACGAAGAGAAGACAGAGTTGATGAAGATATACAACAAACAACAACAACAACAAGCACCAATCATCATCAACGGGAGACATCTAAAAGAAGTTGTCTCATTCACCTGCCTACCTACCTACCACCCCACACCTACCTATCTACACAGCTACCTAGGCAGCGTCGTCTCAACTACAGGCCGTACAGGCACAGATGAGGATGTCAAAGCCAGCAATGGTCGGAAAGATAGCAACACAGGCCTTCATTAACCTGAAATGAGTGTGGAGATCTACTGCACTGCATTGCACTCAGCATAAAGCGTGAAGCGTGAACCAGATCGAGATAATCAACACTGAGTCAGTCAAGTAAGTTAGTCCTTCTATGTGATGGTTGAAAGACTTGGCGCATTACGAAAAGCATTTCCAATAAACCACAGACATGCATCATAAACAGCTGTCGCCTACGCTCACTAGAAACTGATGATGATCAGAAAGAATAAGCAACAAGGAACTGTGGCCTGGCAACGATGCAACCAAAAATCCATCTCCAAACAAATATTCAGAAGAAAGTGGAGATGGATCGAGCATGCACTGAGAAGACCGATTGGAGACATCATGCGCCTGACCAGGCCCTCGAGTGGAAGTCAAATGCGAGACGACCAGTTGGGTATCCGGGGCGACAGTGACAGAGGGGATGGTGTGAGGAATAAATGAAAGCTTATGGGCAGGAAGTCATAGAGACAAGCTGAAAAGATTGGAAAGAAGAGAGGGAAATGGTGACGTGCTACTGAGGCCGTATGTTCCACTAGGAACCCAGAGGATAAATAATAATAATAACAATAAATCATTCAATCGCAGAATGGATTGTAGAAATACTTGAACCACCAAAGAAGAGGCTGCCGAATCATAATCTCCGTGATACATGTGATTCAATTAAAAACGTCATTTTGATAGGTACTGGAATGATCTCATTGATTATCGTGTCTCTTTTCGCAAATCTCGCACTAACAAAAATCATTTACTTCTAATGTGACTTCCTTGAATTGCATAACATACATTTTGATACTTCAAATCCTTACTTACAACAGGTTCTTCTTCAATGTACTTTCAATGTGTACTTCCGATTTATTTTAACAAAATCTACAGCTAAATAGAGTGTGTAGCAATGGGTTTTCCTTTAGGACCTCTCTTATCTGACTACTTTATTGGAAGCATAGAAAATACCAATTTATCAACAATAACCCATGAGCTTCATATTTACAAAAAATACATTGATGATAACTTCATAGTACATGATGAAAATATGAATTTTACAAACTTACTTTATGATTTCAATAATGCCCAACCTTCAATCAGATTCACTCTAGAATTGGAATCTAACTCAACACTTCATTTCCTTACTGTTCAACTTCAAAGAAGAACTGATGATTAACTTCGTAGATCTATGTACAAAAATCCTACATGGAATGGATAGTTTATTAAATTTCAAGGTTTGGTCTCTCTAAGTAAGATGAGAAATTTTATCCGTTCACTTTATTTGAGGACGAGGAAAATATGTACTGAGGACATTGTTGTCAGAGAACTACAAAATCTCCGGTAAATTCTAGTAGAAAACTGTTTCCAAACAGAATTCATAGATAGGAACTTAAAACCAAAGAAGCCAACTGAAAGAACATATTTTCCAGGAAAAAAGATTCTTCCACTGAATCTTTAATTGAAAAATGATGTTACTACAGATATCCTTAGACAACAACTGTCAAAAACCTTAAGTAGAACATAATCCACCGACAGACTTCGGACTACTTTCTCCTAGAAGAAAAGTTTTAGTCAAGGTGTGAAACAGGCTGTTATATTGGACCACATCAGTGTGCGTATACTAGTTTACTTCCTTCTGTGGAGCTGAGTACATCGTCAGTGCCCCATACGTCCGCTTTTAAAACGCACTCGTGAACGCTACTCAGCTCAGTAACAAAGCATCTTGTGAACTCAGATCATCTAGCTCCTTTCGAGAACTCATTCGAAACTCTCTACAGGATTCGATCAAATCGCTCAATAGAAGTAAGACCAAGGCGCTTGGGTATAAGTTGAAGTACTAACCATTACGAAAAAAATATAGTTTCACTTTGAATGTTATATCCTTATTGCAGTTCAGTTTACATAAAATCTACAGTTAACGGCATTATCATCTTTTCGATGTAAAGATGCAGAGAATATTACAGTTACAATCATCTCTAACAGTCTTCTGAAATTATATCTTGAGAGTAGAGAAGAATTTTCAATCTCAATGTGACAAATAGATCCTACATTTCTGTCTTGTTGGTTATATTTAGAATAGTCAGGCTAGAAAATGAAAGTATTTTGTTAACAAAAGTAACGATTCCGAGAAACATAGACTACTAATCGAACTACTGAACTTGTTATGTAAACATTTGCTAGGATGACTTTTAAAGTCTACTTAGACATCAGTAGACTCTATTCCCTACAACTAACATACTACTTTTGTTGTTGTTGAGATGAATAGGGATTTTAATTCAAAAGTAGTATTCATTAGGTTGCTATATTTTGGCTGAGAAGGTAGTTTTTCACAAATTAGACAAGCGTAACTGATAACATCAGAAGTTGTCAGGGTGACTTTTATAGTAACTCATGAAATCATGAGTAGTTTTGAAAACGCTGACTATTTTGAACAGATTTACACAGTGAGATTAAAGTAACATATTGGAGTTAGTTTTAATTTTACTTCGAAACCAGTGGATGATTAAAAAGTGAAGTTGACAATCCTTCAGTGCTGCATGACATTCAGACGATTCAGTGAAGGGTTATTAATACTAACAAGATCTCAACTCAAACTACTCAGAAATCCTATGCTTCTTATGTAACGATTGCATGAGTAATACTTTTATTTTAGTTATTTATTATTTTAGTTATGTTTATTGAACCTTATCGGAGGTAAACTGATCTCCAAGGTGTAATTGTTGTGCTGAGCGACTAAACTTCCAACTACTGGTGTCAAGGCTACTAAGTTTAGAAACTGAGCTTTGTGGGAAGACATTCAGCAATAATTCAAAGTTGATATACATTATGAACTGATACGCATCAGAGAACGATTAAAAAACTGTGAGCACTGGATGCTTGTTTCGTCCCACTATGGGACTCCTCATCCGCGCCCACCCATAACCCTCCTAGGATTGGGAAAATGTGAACCGTTGGATTCTATCCAACCCAGTAGTATGAGAAAAACTTGCTGATCACGAAACCTGAAGGTCCTGAAGTTCGGTCTCTAGGCAGGTCATGGGTATACCCTTGTTACGGAGTCCTATATTTGACGAAACAACTCCCCATTACCCCTAGGATTTCAGTGGTTCATGATGAATACTAAATCAATAAATAAATCCCTAAAAACGTCTAAATTAAATAGCACCCAACAATTATTCATCATATATATATATATATATATATATATATATATTAAGTTATAGAAAATTCGCGTTATTATGTATGGGAGAGACTAGAATAAGAGAAATTCCCTTTTCATGTTAAACTGAGGAAATATTTCGAAGACAGGCCACTTTTAAACTATAATATACTTACCAGCTGATAAAATTTGTAAGTGAACTGGTCGACTTCTGTATACATTAGAACATAATTCAGATTATGGCTTTTCCATGTTGAATGACATTGAAACTGAATCTCTAAGAACAAAAAATTCGCGTAAAATACAAGAATGATTAATTATATTTTATTCGTATGACGTACAACACTCATCCGTAGAAGCGTATATATCCATTGTGAGGTGATAGACACTACTGAATATATACTAAGGATGAATAGTGGTTAACAGGGGAATCCAGCTCTACGAGCATTTCGTCCTGTTTGGGATTCGTCAGCGAGATGTATATGCTCCCAGTGAGTGTTGTTCCCACCAGGACTCGAACTCTGGACAGGTTTGATTCAAATGCTAGACTAGGCCCCGACTAGGTCCCCTGAATCACGATAGCTATCTTTTGTGTGACGGGAATAGTTTTAGCGTTATCGCCTGTATTATCCCGTCATTGAGTGAACCGAAGTGACTGGTCTCTATTGATATATGGGCTCCAGCGTGGAGGCCAATTTAGACCGACCAATTCGGCCCACTCAAAGAATGGATAGTACAAGCAACAACATTACTACTGAATATATTTTGATTTTATATTCATCCAGGAAGTACGCTTCATCTTGTTTGGGGCTCGTAGGCTGGATGTGACTGCACCGTAGTGAGTGACGTTATCCCCACCGAGATTCGAACCCGGTACCCATATTTTCAAATGCCACGGCGTTATACATTAGATCATTGGGGTGTGGGTGCCACATCTGTTGCAACGGGTATCAGTTGTTGTATGACACTTATGATTTCCCATTGCCATGCACTTGAAGAGTCTCAAATAGGACGAAACGCGCGTGTTGGATTCCACTTCTAGTCACCAATATGAATATAGCACCAATAATATCTGGCAGTAACGAGGCGTCTGTATGGAAGTACATCTTCCAACAGAGGATGAGGAATGAAAAAAACCAAATCACGACCTCACACATAGGTACATCGGCTCAAGTTTCTGCAGTTGACGGTAGTACAAAACGAATAGGTGGATAGAAAAAGAATGATAACAAAAAAGATAAAGTGGTGTGCCACAATAAATAGCCCGAAGACAAAGGTTAGTGTGAGTATTCAAGATTTCGAAGATGTTAAGGAGTGAATACATTTGCACCATAGTAACCAGTTTTCAGCCATGTCACCAAGAGTTCTAAACCGCCGATTCTTATAATCTCGGGGACGTCATCCAGATAGTCTGCATATCCCCACACGGCTCAGACCAACAACCAAGGACTTCATTCATTGACAGGTGCTACACTAGCCACCCTGGACCCTCTTCCAACCCAATCCAGCATCCCTTAGCGTAGGATATCCAAGTGGGCAGGGGCTCGGCATGTGCAGTACATGTCCTAGTCATCTCAGTCGGCTAAGGTTCACAACGTCGTCAATTGACTTACCTGTCTTGCTTAGTACCCTCACTGGACTTTAATATTGCTCATACGGTGACTACACCTAACGTGACCAATGCTCTGAAGAACTTTATGATAAAAAGCTGTAATTGCTTCCTGTCCTCTACCTTTTAAGGCTATGTCTCACAGTCGTACAACAGGAAAGGACAGACTGCAGAGTACTATACTCGTTCTTTGACAGATAATCGGGTATCTGATCACTCGAAGCCACAGAAGACGCAAGTTGGCAAATGCCGAACTGGCCTTCTTCATCCCAGCTGAGATTTCGCCAGCAACCAGCCGGTTACCGCTTCCGCTCTTTATCATGTTCAGAATCTACTGGAATCAGATTTCTCGGATCAGTTAGTTCAAATAACGTCGTGAAATTCCAATGACATTTGCTAACTTTCGGTTGTAGGTAAATGACTATCTATACCTCTGTTTCTGGAGTAAACTTAATCCCACCTCAGCTTTCTTCGGGATGAGCATTGCTATCATGTTCAGATTAATGCTTAGCTGACTCCTCCTTACATATATACTTGAAGTTCTCATCTACCAGTCACTGCCTTCTGTTTCCTACGACCAGTTAGGCGCAATAAGCCAGTATCAACAAGTCATCAGAACCCAGAATGGTACTCTAGAAAAAGTGGCAAGCCTCCAGCGATTCCCTCAAACTATGCCTTGTAGAAATGTGATCTACTTGTGTCCACCTTTAGTTTTGAATAGACGTGCGCTTTGTGAGACAGTACCTCTCCTTATGCCTAAAGTTAGTGCTGACCAGAAACAAGTGATTGCCGGAGCAAAATTACAACAGAAGATGAACGTTGTCAGTTCGTTGGCATGAAATTCAGTAAATACCACAAGGATACCTTTACGATTGGCTCAGCTCAGCTTCCGCAGTTCAGCAATAAAGTCACCTGCCATCATGACCACATCTGCAAATATCTCTTTCTGTATAAAAGTTAGCAGCTTTTCTTAGAATCCATCCTCTGCATCATCCCAACTGCAGTCGGTGAATGCGCAAGTCAAGATTACGAATAGGCGTTGGTTGGTCTGGCGATTCTTCCTAGATCTTACAGATCCACTTAGTTGAACAATGCGTAGACGGTTACTCACCAGCATGCAGTTGAGAAGAACATTTTCTGCTGTATAGTTGAATGCTATGCCTACTCCAGCTAGTTCACGAAAGCTAACCACTAAGTCTCGGGATGCTAGTAAGCTAAATTTTGAAGATTCACTACTATGGTCACGAGAGGTCAATTTAATAACCATACTACTCGGGTTCTGTGTACGTGTCTCAAAGACACAGAATACATCCATGGCTAGAGATTCCGAAGTTATGGCAAGTGAAGCTTGGTGTCCGGTTTGGCATTGAGTGTGGACGTTGAAAGCTTCCACAATGAATCGATGGCTAGCAAGGTCTTATGAGACTAGGACTGAGCTGACGATGTCTTTGGTCGTTCACAACAGTCTCAGAATGTTGGGTTTGGGAATGTTCATGGGCCGTAATATTTGTATCAGGAGGAGTAGGAGGTAAATTTGAGAAGAATAGGTTATATTTGATTGAGTCGTGTGTACTTCTGAAAGCGTGCGGGGTGTCCACATCATGGAAGGCTGTTTCTTCCTAAGATATCTGAAAGAGAAAAGGATTTGTGTGATAGCAGAGCCCACTGGGCATCTGCTTGAGGCCTGTCACATATAGTCTTTTTCAGGGTCGTTGTTTTGGTTGTTCTAACGTAGGAGAGAGAAAACCTATTCCACAGGCCTCGGAAGACCATGGGTAAAGGAGGAGTGTATAATTTTTGGCACCGGCTTTTTCTACTCGCTCATCCTTCCTATTGGGAAGGCAGCATCAGTGTGGCACTGCTGGTCATCTGAGGGAAACATCTTACTGCTGTCACAACCTACGCAGCTAGCAATAGTGCGACTTGACCCTCAGGCCTCCACCATAGTGTACTAATTCTGACTAGAACGGTAACTGCCTTTCGTCCTACCACTTTCCAGCAAACCTTTATTTGCACAGGAGGACCTCGAGGGACGAGCGTTCCATCCAGTTTAACTTGTTGGATCATTGCGACATACACTCTCAACCATGACGTCAATGTAGCAAGTATCGACAGGGTAGGTTGAGGATCTTGACCTTGTAGAGCAGTGGGCAGAGCAGTGATTTTGTATATGTATGAAACACTTATTAATGGTTTTTCATTTAGTATGCTTTAGTACTCATTGTAAGTGAATTTTAGAAAATTTTCGCCTTCAACAAATTTAAACAAGGTATTTTAAAGAAAAATACTGAGAGATAAGCAGTTCTAAAGGTTTTCTTTGTTGTGTACTATCCTTCCCTATTGATAAGTAGCCTCCTGAATGGTAACCTGTCACAATTAGTGTGCTTTCTTTCTCCATACTTCACCAGCACCTCCATATCGAATGACTTCTGATTTTTATTTCTTCAACATTCTTGGCAATCATCCTCCCTGAATCTTGTACGTTCTCAATGTTTCGTTCCTATTCCCTTTTTGCCGGGCATCATATTCCAAATTTTATTCTGCTTTAGTAGTTGTGGTTTTAACATTGCGTAGAACATAACTATACTACTTATTAATAGTAAGTAGTTCAGAGCTGTCTGCGTAAAAAGGTGAGCGTTAGACCGAAATGAAAAAAATTAAGACAAAAATTGGCAAGTCAGATATCAAACTTACAACATGGACATTTTATGTTTAATTTATTAATGACCTTCATTATCAACGGTCATTTCGTGGAAGAGTTCAAAACGTTGAAGACAAAATAAGTAGTCCTACAGTTCAAACAAATTTTTATAAAATCTGAATCCAAGTGGTAGATATGCCTTAGACACGAAAGTCACCGAGTGAAAATAATTCGCTGGAAAGAAAATATGATCGTGATATAGTACAAGGTGTTTGATTGACTGCTTGCACTATGTCATGAGGACAAGAATTCAACTACAGGAGTTCACCTTGAAGATACAACCTGTCATGTTATGTAGTATCTAACATCTTGCATCCATCCTGATGGTTATTTTGTTCGCTGCAAATAGATGTTGCTTACTGAATATCTTGCTTAAGCTAACTGAATGTGTGAAATCAGGTGAAAGGTATGGGGATAAAGGGTTTGAAGTGAAAGGAGTTAATGTGAGATATCCCGAATTGGCAGAGAATAGACAGATAGTTTCCAGATCTGATCGAAAACACACCATCTTCAAACAAACACTAATAATTATAAAAGTAATAATACAAGCCCAGATAGTTTAGAAAATCAAGCCGAGATTCTCCTTAGCGTTTCACTGAGCACGTCATGGCTTCTTCTGCAGAGTACTTAGCTATTCAGTAAGAGTCAAAATATTTTCGGTTGAGTGGTACATATAATGATGACCAAGGGCTTACTCACAGAAATCATGTTATTATATCATTAGATTTGACTACATTTTTTTTCTCAATAAAAATCCGAGTACTCTGCTGAAGATGTGGCATCTGCAGCGAAATGTCCAAAAATATCTTCTGGATTTCTGAACAGGCTGAGATTATATTAAAACTTACATAGATTAAATCAAACTGAGTGCTGAAATTCTTCAAGGAAACTTGTAGCAACTATAGACTGGATATTCACAATAAACAGTAATATGCTCATTGGTTATCATTAATCTATGAAGTCGTAG